ATGTCCACTGAACGCTCTGTTGTAATTACTGCACATATTTATCTGCATGTATCTCACATACGGTGTGGGGGAGGGGGTCCATTATTTTATGTTCATTATGTATAAAATGAAATATTTACATCCTTGATTTCATTTTGATTTCATTAGTATCCTGCCCAAGGATGTTTAGACTGGAGCAGTGAGTGTAGGAAACAACGCCGTCTCTGTCGCCTGCTGTCTGCAGGTCATGACCTCCTGCTCCACGTTAACAGATGTGGGTCAAACTAAAATAAGATCTCCTCTCAAATTTCTCCCAAAGTGCTTTCTGACATTATTAGTAGTTCTCATGAGGCTGATTTCAGGTTTGATTCTACTGACTGACTTGCTGTGAAACGGGCGCGCCGGGTCCTCATGAGCAGGATGCTGAGAGAAGGTCGAGCTTTACTTTCCAAAACCACAACAGTTTCAAAGTGACTGTGAGGAATTCACCAGTAAACTGGACCAAGTGAAGACGTACGTGTGTTTAGATGCTAATAAGTAATAAATACAAATGTACAGATCAGGTCATCCTGAGAAAAAAGTCCAAATGTTTAGATGTGTTCTTTTTTGAGAAGGAAGTTGAAATGCGATGATTACAGTTCGTTTCAAGACAAACTGCCGTGGTTGCTATAGAGGTTTTACACATGACGTCATGCGTGTGTCGTTCAAGAGCTGTCCGCCATATTGGACGCGATAACCACTTGGGGTCATCCAATAACAATGTTGCTGGTTGCAGCCACCCACCTCTTATTTTCTTAAAGCAATTAATTTACAGTCTGTCAGTAATAACATCCTGAAAGATACAAGTGTTGGACTGAAAACGAGTGGAAAGTTTAAAAGAGCTTCAGAGAACTACGGCTCGGACGCTCTTTATAACTGACAACGTCTCAGTGCTTGGAACAGAACTGTAGCTGCGTGAGGAGACTGACACTGTAGGTTAAATCATTTGTTGTTGGTGGATCTAACGCATGGCGTGCAGCGCCTACTGAAAGGGATTACAGTTTGAAAATGTTCATCACATTGGTCAAACTGTTTTTCTCCTTGAACACATTGTTTTACTTCATCATGCATTCCCGTGTGTTCTCCTTTCACCTGACTGTGCGACTGTTTTCAAACACGTCACCCCAGAAGAGGCGGGCACAAAACAGCCTTCAATTCAAGCAGACCTGGAAGAAAAAGGAACGTAATGATGAGCAAGGAGCAGCTCACGCCGCTGCTGGCTTATCTGGACGGCCTGACAACACAGCGTTAGTTCAGGAGATTCAACAGGAAGAAGACCACCTCGCTGTGCCCTGTGTCTGATCCTCCTTCGAGATACTCTCAGAGTGTATCAACTCAATCCGATATGACTGTAAATGACATCAACCAATCAGAGAATGCCAAAATCTCAGGACGGAGAGGTTTGATTTACCATCTCGATACGAACAGCAGATGTTCCTGCTTCATACACGATGCAGATAAATGCTTTACTGGTTTACCCGAATACAACGTATTACTAACAGTATTCATGTTTATCAAGACACACCTGGAGGATATTCAATGTCAGCCTATCAGCAGCTCACCTGCATACTACTCAGGCTCAAAGCAACCGTGCAGTTCCTTGGATTCGTGTTTGGGGTGCATGCTTTAAAAGTCTCACACATATTCATCACACTGGGATTGATTTAGCCTGAGCGGGAACACATACAGACTTCACTGCCTGTGTGAACTTTCCTAAATGTATTTCAGTCATTGACAGGACAGGACCACAGACTGTCACATCACAAACTCCTAGCTGGTGATGTGGTACCAACAGATTCAACTTTCAGGAAGCAGCTTGGATAGTGGAACCTGAGAACGTTCAAAACTGGCATCGCTGTGCTACAGGAGCCAGTCCCTGCAGCTAAACAATGGAGTTTACCACACCTGACAACATTGTACGCATCGCTTGTGCAGTGACTAAGTTTGTAACAACATAATATTTCAGATGCATTTTATCTCTCAGATAATTGTGAAATCTAAAAATCTCAATGTATGTTCCTCAGTTTGGTGTTTAGCCCTGAACACAAGAATGTATTTTGTAATTCTTGTTATTTCAATAAAAACTATATTTTTGCTTCTTGGAGCTCCATTTATTTCATTACAACTGTGCAAAGTGTAAATAATATCACAGTAATATCTCTAAATGTAAATGGGATCCTCACCTCAATTAGCAGAAGTAAGAAGTCTAAAGTGTCCAAATCTGGTCATAGATGAGGAGTAGCCATCCTGATTTTATATAAAGTCCCATTTGAACCATTTGCAGAAACTAAAGATGAGGATGGATGGTATGCTCTAGTTTCTGGGAAAACTGAGGGAGGGGAAATGAGCTTTTTGGCTGTATGTGCCTCAGCAGGTAATGATTTCCGTTTTTACAGAAATATTTTTGATTTACTGGTTGGTTCAAGAGGTATTGTCGTTTGTGGAGGAGACTGGAACATACGGCTTAATCCCAGATTAGACTCCTTCACAGCAGTCCCTTCTCCCTCCTACATTAGAAACTCATGTCAGAATAAGTGAGTGAACCTCAGGAGAGATTTAGGGACCAGACTACACTCACACATGTGCTGCATTCCAGGACGGACTTTTTAATTTAAGAGAGACTGTCCCAGAAGACCAAACTGCCAAATAGGATGTATTGACTTATGTGATCGTGCACCTCTACTGTTACCGCTGCAAATGAATAACAATCTAAGAAATGGATTATGGAGGCTGAATACTGATGTTTAAAACAACCAACAATTTACAGGAAAAATGAAAGAAGAAGAAATCAACAGAATTATGGTGGAAAATGACAGAGGAGAGCTGGTCTGACTCAGGTCATGATTTTGTGTGTTGTCGTTGCTCGTCACACCTGAGGGTGGCGCTGTTTGCTCTCTGTTACTGTCTTCATTGGTTCAAGGTTCTTTATTATTTGTCACATGCATAGTTAAACAAGTATAACACACAGTGAAATGTAGCCTGACACGCTCCTCGACATGTGCAAAAATGGGGGGGGTGTAGAGGAAGAACATTATATATATATGTAGTATATATGTAGTATATACACTGGGTGAATGTGCAGTAGTAGCAGCAAGCAGGTGAATTCTGTACATTAATATGAATAGATTGTCTATTGTGTTTATAATCACAGAATTTCATCAGGGATTATTAAAGTATCCTGATTCAGATAATTCCCCTTTTTAAATTTAAGACATTGCCTATTTGCGAATTTGTTTGGAAAATGGTCACAGAATGAGTGGACGTTAAACATGAGATTTATTTTAGTGTTTCATTTGTTCCTGAGCAAACTGATTTAGTTGACATTCATCTACAGCTCATAACTGGATAGTTTGATTTCACTTTGTGTTACTGAAGAGCTTCTTATGTGTGGAAATGAATCTTTCACTCATGTTTGTGCTCTAATGTAGAAATGAGCTATACTTGTTTATACAACTTATTTTGAATTAAAATTAACATTAAAATGTTTTAATACACAAAGAAAGTGTGAGTATTTTCACTGAGAGGAGCAACAAGCTGTTAGAAGCTCGTTAGACACTGAAACAAATCATACCTCTCTAACAATATCAACTAATAACAGTAATGAACAGGACTAAAGGCAGAGAGGTGATACAATAATAATAAATTCATATAGTTTATATGGCACATGCACACGTGTTAATAAAATGTTAAGATAAGATAAGATAAGATAGAACTTTATTAATCCCTCGGGTGGGTTCCTCTGGGAAATTCGACTTCCAAAAAGCACAGCAACGACCGAAGTTACAGTTACAGAATTGTTATATATATATATATATATATATATATATATATACACATATATATATATACACATATATATATACATATATATACACACATATATAAATACAGAGACAAATATAAATAAAATATACAAAGGGGATAAATAGAATAAATAGGAATAAAAAATAAAAAATAAAAATACAAGTGAAGTTAGTCAGTTCAAATCATTATTTAATATTTATTTCATTTAAGTAGTTTGTTGTCTTTTTGGTTTTGAACTCATCGTGCAGGCGCAGACAGGCCTGCTCGCCTCTCCTTATAAACAGAAGCTGTCTCTACCTTCACCCACACCTCTGCTGTCTCACCTGGGCACACACAGCTTCACAAACAGCTCAAAGCTCATTTGCATCTATAGTCTGTTGGTAAAGGTTCACAAAAATGTCACAAAGTATATCAGCAAACATAAACACCCATCAGCACCTAAGAAGAAGCAAACATCAATGTTACGAAGTCTGTCGGTCTTACAGTTGTAGTGTTACAGCTGAGTCACAGAGAACACACAGAAGTGACAAAGAGGCGCAGCTTCTTTGATTAAATATATATATTAAATATTATATATTATAATATTATTATAATATGTGTATAATAATATATATTATAATAATATTATAATATATATATTATGTATATATATATATATATATATATACATATATATATATATATACATAATATATATATTATAATATTATTATAATATATATATTATGTATATATATACATAATATATATATTATAATAATATTATAATATATATATTATGTATATATATATATATATAATGTATATATATACATATATATATATATATATACATAATATATATACATTATATATATACATTATATATATATATATATATATTATAATATATATATTTATATATATATATATATATATATATATATATATATATATATATATATTTCATACATATATATTTCATACATATATATTATAATATATTATATTTATTATATTATAATATATATATTTATATTTATTATAATATTTATTATAATATATTATGTATATATTTATATATTTTTCATATATACATTTTATATTGACCGGTGTGACTATATGAAGCTTTTTCACCCAGACATTGTTCTCTTTTAAAAACGCATAAACTTCGTTATTTGTTGTGCTTTATAGTAACGTGACGGTGGCGGTGAGCGGAAGGAGGTGCTGAACGGCTGCGGAGCACGCGCGCGCACACACGCACGCACCGCTACAGGGAAGATGGAGGACGATGTGGCCGCAGCGCAGAGGACCTGCATCCTTTAGCAACATCACTCCTGTGAGCAGGTTCGTGTTCAGGACCGGGCTGTTCGCTGTAGGCCTGACCCACCGGGATGCGGACAAAGCAAACGTCTCCGGGCTGGGCTGTTGTTCTCATCATCATCATCATCATCATCATTATTGTTGTTGTTATTGTTGTTCTGTGGAGCTTCGCTACGCGGTCTGTTCACTGAGGAGTGGTTCGACGGAAAACTGCGCTCCGTAGATGAAACGTCAAACCAGGATTCAGAGTGAAGGAAAATGGCAGTGTCTTTGTGAGGCTGTGTCGGACCCACGCAGAGCGGACATGAATAAATCGGCACATAGAGGCCCTGTTGTCTCCAGGTGCAGAGCCACGGCGGGGCTAACCAGTCCATCCAGCTCGGTGCGACGGGTAGATGGTTCTCGAGGTTTCTTATTGCGTGCTTCATTCAAAGCAGGACTTCAGCTGAGCTTTTGTAAAAGCAGAAGCTGAAATCAAACAGATGTTTTGCTGATGTAGTTGTTGACAGGAAAGCTGCTGGTTGTGCAGAAAATTCAGAAAACCTGGATGAAATTGGAAAATGTGGGTAGTTTTGCTTCATTCCTGGTGAAGGTGACTTCTACCAAACATAGGAACGACTACTGTAGTGTTTTAGACAAAGATAAAGTGATGCTGGAAACATTAAAGTACAATAGTCCCACACATGGAGCCACGTGTGTGCGTGGCTGTCTGTGCGTGAGGAGGAAATCTGAGGCCAGCTCCGGGTGGCTCATGTTCCCAAACACAAATCTCATAACAAATAAGACACAGTGTCAAATCTTTATGTAAGAAAAAAGTGCCCACAGGACTGCACCGCTGAGATCAATGCTTCTAATCCTGTAACAGTGCGTACAGGCGCTTGTAGTTTGAAGTGTTTTCTGTGTCATTTTGTCAGTCGCTCACATTGCTGAGGAGGGATTTCAGCTTACTCTTTTTCACACTGTTGTTTCAGTTTGTTGAGCTTTGCAGTCATTTGTTTATGCACACATGGCATTGATCTGAAATCTGGACGTAGGCCTGTTGCAACACTTGATTCGTTTTCTTTTCAGATATTCTGTTGCAGATTTTGCTGGTGTCTCAGCGTCTTTGGCCCAAACTTTAGCTGCTGAATAGACGATCTCCTATCTGATCATACTTTGGTATTCAGTGAGTGAATCATATTCAATCATCACCCCTCCTCCTCCGTGCTCGACAGCTGCTATGAGGTTTTTGTAGCTGTTTTTTGGTTTGTCCAGATACAACTTTGCACTCCTAAACCTGCCATGTTCTTAGAGAGGAAAAGCTTTGCCATGGCAACCGTTCCAAATAAGACAGACAAGTTCAGTCTTTGTGATCGTACTGTGGTGAACTCTAGCATTTAACATGCTAACAGAGGTCTCTTTATACTTTATCTAAGTATCTTTGAAAACACATTTTTAAAATGTAGATCATCGTCCTTAAAGAACAAAGGAAAAGGCTCACAGAGGCCACTGTACATCTTTAAAATACAAACACTGCTGATTATTAGATCTGCCATAAATGTAATCAGAAAATAAACATACAGTATCTGTGTTTGTCCACCCGAGTTATACGTGTTCGTTTCAGCGTTCATGAAGACAAGAAATTAAAAACTAATATTTAACATAAGCAACGTAACAAGCAGACCAAATGTATAATGAAACCTCTACAGAGCTCATTAAGTCCTGTGTATATGTGTTTTTATAGCTGGGTTACCAGAAGGGTGAGCCAAGAGGGGGATGGAAAAGAAATGAATAAATAAATAGTAAATAAAATGGAAATTTTCCCATTACAGGAATCTGGAACTAACCATCCACGAGTATGGGGCTGGGGCAATGCTGGGATGCCAGCAGTGTTATCGTGAGAAACCATTTCCAGATCTTTTTTAATCCATTTCCAACAGTATAGTGGTTTCTTGGGGTTGTTCCAGACAGGAGTGCATATGAAAGCTACTGAAGGAGTGTTGGTGAAATTTCCACCCGGCTGTGGATCATCTTGTTAATGATTTCAAACAAGGATGCTGTTTGATGGCCTGAGCAGGAATGCTGAAACTGAAAAGTCTTTACAAACTCTAAGAATGTATTTTTGCTTCTGTATAGTTTTATTCATGCGTTCCTTTTTTAAAATATTGGGATTTTGACTACATGGACACTGGTAAGTGCGTACACTGTGGAAGTTACTCATTTATACTTTTAAGTAATGATGTTCAGTTCGGCCAGGCTTTTGTCTCAGTGGGTAACGTGACAGGTAGTCACAGTATTACAATTTCAAACTTAGGAAAATACTCTTTAAAATAGTTTTCGTTACCATGGGGAAGATTTAGAGTGGCTTCTCTTATATTTAAAATAACCACACTGTGGAGGGACAAGCGTCTGTTTTTATGCGTACTTTCGTTACCAACAACGACGGTAAAACCATCGTGTGGCTCCACCCTCCGCTTGTTTATTTTCCTCGTAAACGTTCACAATAAAGCTCAAGATCCCATTGAGACTTTTCAAAATAAACGGAAATGATCGACATTATTCTGTAACATCAAATTTCTGAATATGCATCAAACAGATGACCTCCAATAAAAACACGAGGTAAATGGCACTCACAGACGACTCCCAGCTGAAAACACTTCACATAAGTCGAGTTGCCTGAGATTCACTGAATTTACAGAAAATAAACTATTTTGAGATTTATATCGTTATGGGGATTAGAAATGTCATATATGAGATTGTGGTCATATCGCACAGGCCTACCAGTGGCTACAGAACTTCTTGTGCTTTTCTGTTTGTGGTGTTGGATTCTTTTCAGCATACTTTGGGCTCCGTGACAAGATTACCAGAGGAAAAGAGGGGGGAGGGGCTTCCTCGTACCACGTCATTGTTGTAGAAAAGATGTTCACTCACTTTGGCTCTGATATTTCTGAAACAAAGGTTTAAAAGATACCGAGCTGTGGTAGGACATACAATGTGCTTTTACTCACGTCGCGCCTTTTTAGTTTAAGTGGCTTAATTATATTTATATTATGTAATTATTATAATTTTATATAATTAGAGATTGTTTTTATTCTATTGGATTTTAAGGCTCTTTGATGAAAGTGGTATTGATAGAACACATGCTTACTGTTACAGGAGAACATTTTGACAGCTAATATTTGCAGCATAGCTCCTTTTAGTTCCTTCAAACTGTTTCAGGTACTTGGGCAGAAACAGCCAAAGCAAAGAGTCCCAAACAGACTAAGGTATGGTTACCTGTTAGATGGGGCGCTATTCAATCCTTCTCTTTCAGAGATAAGCAGATACCCACACAGAGTATTGGTCTGTACAGATTCAAGAGAGAAAAGTGAAAACTGAAGTTTTAACACGTGTTGGCTTAATAAAAGTGTGAATCTTTAGCTTGTCAGTTACTGTTTTTGCCTGTTAACCATGCAAGTCCTCGCCGTATCACTTCCAGCGAGAACGTAGGAGCAGACACATATTTCGCTCATGTTGTTACATTTTTGTTTACTCACATTTTCTTTCTTTCTGTTTACCCATTGCAGTCGTTTCCAGCAGCCTTCGCTCTGTTGATGATGGATTCCTAAGCCGTTCTCTGACACCACTTTACCAACCCGACAGCCATGAACCCCCAAAAGACAGAGTTTGTTCAGGACGTTATGGAGGCGATGGATGGTCCTTCTCGCCATCAACACCACCCCAGCCTGTCCCATAACCACAGCAACCAGGACAAGCGCTACAGATGCTGTGAGACTTCAGCTGGTGTCACAACAGAAATGGCCAGTGGTGCAAATGCTGAAAGCCGAGTTGGGATGCTACAGCACCACAAGCCACAGGAGGAGCAAGACGCGGAGCTGCAACATGGAGATCAGTCTTCTAAGCCCCACGAGATCCAGCCCATTCCCCGACCTGCTGTGACACGTTACCGCAGACAGGGCGACAGTGAGGCCCGGCTCAGAACTCAACAACAGAGGAACAGGATGAAGCAGCAGAGGGAGGCGGAGAGAGCGCAACAGGAAAGGGAGCAGCACGCTAAGATGACCAAGGAAGCTGAAGGTGAGAGGGAGGATTCTATGCTGGCCCGCTCAGCAAGTACTGAGAGCGGCTTTCACAGCCATACTGACCGTGCAGAGGGAGACGATATCCCAGTGATGATGTCTCTGGAGCCTGAGGCCCAGCGAGAGTCCGAGGATGATGCAAACAGCTACAGCCTCCCGCTGCGGCCCGAGGCAGAAGAGTACACTGAAAGTGCAGAGGCTGAACAGCAGCATCTCCATTCACATCCTAACTATGCTCTTCAGTTCCTGATGCTGCCGCGTGAATCCTTACTTAATATCCAGAATTCCCAAAGAGAAGATAAAGCAGAGGAGACACTGAATGGTGGCTACTCTAACTGTGTCTACACCCAATCCTACAGCCAATCGGGAGCGAGAACCTGTGTCTCATCCAGTCAGGACTTGGAAAGTTTAGATGCTGGACTTGAAGCGTACTCTGAGCCATATGACACGTATTCGCTCTCTGAGCATGTGTATGAGGAAATATGTGACGCTCCAACCTCAGTGTCAACTTCTGCAAGTGTGGCAAACGATAGAGAGTCTCGACAGCAGGCGGCGACCGGCTTGCAGCTGTTGCAGAGCGGGGCGGGAAAAGGCGATTACCATCAGCAGGAGGCCGTGGGCTCCCGTCTGCGGCACTACGATGAACGTTCAGATGGTGAGTCGGACAGTCCAGAAAAGGAGGCAGAGTTTGCTCCATATCCTCGTGTCGACAGCTGCGACCAAGAAGACGATACTGATAACAGTGTTAACGGGGCTAAAAAAGGCTCACAAAGCTTTGATCCTGCTGCAAAAGATTCCACAGACAAAGAAGAAAAACGCCAACCGGACAAATTCTCTCACAAAAGCAACAAGACTGCCAGTCGAGGGAAGTCGGCCAAGCAGCAGGCTGAGACTCCTGTGAAGGAGCCAGTGAGGAACAGTGTGGAGAAGAGGGATGCTATATCTTTAGCCATCAAAGACATTAAGGAGGCCATAGAGGAGGTGAAGAATAGAACAGTCAGATCTCCTTACACACCTGATGAGCCAAAGGAACCTGTTTGGGTAATGAGGCAGGACTTAAGCCCCACTGCTGAATGTGACCTGCCGACATCACTCGGGGCCGATGTAAGTACAAAAGCTCTGACTGTTATTCATCAAGTTATATATTGTCCAGTATTAACTGTTCTTTGGATGTGAATGAAACTCGAGCATCAGGAACAAACAGAGTTGATTTGCCTTTTACGTTCAACATGTCCAATCTCACTTTCTTTGACCAATCCTTGCTGATGAGATGACAATGTGCCGATCAGTGGTGCGTTTGGGTAGTCCGGGTCTCTCACTGAGCGTGCTCCTGTGACCGGCCAGCACGTCATGGAGTGGGTGGGAGGTGTTGTCCAGCATCGTCCTTATGTTGGACAACACGGGCCTCTGTGGCACCACCCTAAAGACCTCCACCTCCATCCCCATAACATTACTGGCTGTGGCCATTTGCGAGCCTCAACCTGCTGCCCCAGCATGTAACCGCATCGAGGAAACTAATGCACAAAACGATGATAAAATTTAATTCAGTTTTATTTATACAGCACCAAATCACAACAACAGTCGCCTCAAGGCGCTTTATATTGTAATGTAGACCTTACAATAATGCAACAATCATATGACCCCCTATGAGCAGCACTTTGGCGACAGTGGGAAGGAGAAACTCCCTTTTAACAGGAAGAAACCTCCAGCAGGCTCAGGGAGGGGCGGGGCCATCTGCTGACAATTTTATCAAAGAATAAAAACAAGATGAAAAAATATTCTGGAGAGACGAGATCCAATCAAAACGAATTAAGTTGTGTAGAAAAGTGGTAGAAAGCTGCATCCCATTCTCCCTGTTCCCTCCCCGGGGGAGCGCCGTAGACACGGGGACACATTCCACATTTGAAGGGAAACCAGAAGCTTTTTAAATGAGCAAAACTCACCAGTAAAATCACAGCAAGCCTTAAACTTCATGTTTTAGTCAAGCTTCAGTTTTATTCACAGCACGAGTTACCTGGAGGTGCTTTAGATTTAGTCTTCTACACTCTGATGATCATTTAAATGCTCAAATTATGACTCTGAATCACAACTTTGGCTAATAAACATGAAATGATGTAAACAGTTTTATGGTTAAATCTTTATAGTCAATGACATAAACACAAAAGCTATGATATAAAACATGTGTGCATGGCTCTAACGGGTGAGAATAGGGCAGAGTCCCTGTTTTAGATGTGTCATTGCATACTGACTTTTATGCTAAGGTGAAAATATTCTGAAAGTGTCAGCTGCTGATTGAAATGAATTGAACGGCCACATGTTTAGTTTGGAGCAAATAAGCCCCACGAGCTCCAAAGATAGAAGCAATGATTTTGTGAGCTTTAAACAATTTGTAATCAAATGTTGGTGATGGTGGACGAGCGCTCCAGTACTGAGGGAATTGTTTCCCTGTCAGACATCCTTCAGGCACTGGTGCTCAGTCAGTCAGTAAGGAGGAGGTGGGTGTAGGGCTGAGTGGAGCCAGGCTGAAGGCCCCAGAAACCCCTGAAACACCAATAAAGAGCTAGACTGCTGAGTGGACTCCTGCACTGAAGAGTGAGGCTTGTTCCTGAATTTCTTCTTTGTTTATTAACACTGATCAGCTGCAACATTAACTCCACTCATTTGGGAAGTAAATAGTGAGTGCAGTGTGTTGTACTAGATTCTGTTAAAACGAGAAATCATCACAGATAAAGTGTTTGGACTTTTTTGCACGTTATCGCTGTACAGGGTGTAATTCAGAGAAGCTTGAGAAACGTGTGGTCATCGTGCCGTGCATGCCTGTCCTTTAATCAGACCGTGCAGTGCAGGCTTGGGTAGTGTTGAGACTGGTTCACAGCTGCAGGAAAAAAGTGCCAAAGATGCTCAGTGAGTCGTGTTAAGATGACTGGTGGCTATAGCCATCTAACAACCACCCCACACTTAACTGCAGACCAGCCAAAGGTCCTCAGGAACAGTTCGGTAAACAGCTTCCAAACTTCCCAGATCCCAGTCTACTCAGTGACCCAGTCCACCAGGGCTCTGCCCTCATTGTATGATGCCAGATAGAACAGGACACCCAAGGGTGCTGTCTCCATTCTGCAGTGCACTGCAGCTGTTTTGGTTGTGTGACAGAGACCTGCTGACAGCATTGGGTCGGTGGTTCTTGTGTTGTGGTTGATTCCAGTTAACGCAGGTAAACCTTATTACGTCTCTCTCTGTGGAAAGTGTGGAAAGGTCCACAGAAAGAGACGGTAATAAGGTTTATCTGCGTTCTAGTTGGTTTGGCTTGAGTTTCAGGTCGTGCAGTTACAATCATGCTGCTGTCGTCACACGTTTGATGCCAGCGTTAAGGGATGCAAATCACTCTGTTTGGTAGCAAAACTAGACATCACCTGATGCCGTTAAAGAACGCGATGGCCAGTGCCGATGTAGACTCAGTGTCCGATGTTTACTGGGGCCTTTATTTTCATGTACTGTACCGGGTCAACGTGTACTGCAAATGTGCAGGCAAGAGAAACTACACTGTTTTTACTGTTTCTATTTGTCTGGCTGCAGAAAAATAAAGAGACACTGAAGCAGTTTTACATAGAAAAACAGGAAGTCCAAAGGAAGAAGGAGGTGAGGGCAGCAGTGAGGAGGGTGATGGCTCAGGGATTCCCATGATGCATTGTTTCTCCTTCTGTCCCCTTTTTCACTCACCACGTGTTCATACATCAATCTGCATTTAATTCTGAGTTATTATTAATCTCTGGCTCTCGTCCACAGCATGTCTTTAGTCCCGTCTCCCTCCCCTCAGCCTGGTTCTGCTGGAGGTTTCTTCCTGTTCAAAGGGAGTTTTTCATTCCCACTTTTGCCAAAGGGCTTGATCTTTATTACTGTAGGGTCTTTACCTTACAACATCAAAGGCTTAGAGGTGACTGTTGTCATTTGGTGCTACATAAAGAAAATCAAATTGAATTGAGTTAGTGAGGCGGTGGGCCCGAGTGTGAGTCCAGGACCAAGTGTGTCCAAATGAATTAAAGAACTCATTCATTCATTACAAATTGGAAATATCCCATTTATTTAATATTTATTAATTTATTAATTTATTTATTAATAATTATTTAATATCATTTAATAATGACATGTATATTAAATAGAAATTAATTTGATTTGATTTGATCCTTTTAATAAATTGTGTATTTAGTTCCAATTTCCGTAATTATTTCATGGTTCCTGTGTTCGTGTCATCCTCACCCATCAAACACTGACGGAGTCAAAACCTTTTCTTTGTTTTGTTTTTTACCCAAACTGTAAGTCACGTCTTCAAATACCACGGTTTCTTTGAATACACTTTTTAAATATTCAGTTTGGTGTAATCTTCAAATATCTGGTTGATCTGGAGCCCGTTTGCCAAAGTGTGCCTGTGTTTTTGGAGATGTCCGTTCCCACTAGTGTAACAGCCGCCTTACTGCTGACCCTCACCACTTAAACCAGAGACATGTGACCTAGTGTGTTGTTGCTGTTCGTAGATATACAAAAGACTGATGTGTGTCCTGCCCAGATATAATGAAAAAGATCTATTTTTTAAAAATATATTTATTTATTCCTCTGTTTTCTAAACATGAGCTCTCTGTTATAAATTTCTAATAAGTCTATTAGAATAAAATCAGATTAACTTTTGATTTGTGTGTGTGTGTGTGTGTGTGTGTATACACGCATAATCTTGTTATTAACAGAGATGATGTTGGTGGTTTTAATCATGTAGTCGTCTCACTGTAAAGCTTAATTTTACAAGATGCTGTGTAAAATTAATTAATATGAATTAATATTAACTGACTTTGGTCCTGATAAAATATTATCAGATCTGGACAGGATCTGGTCGGCTGTGTACAAACACACTCTTGACTTCCGTGTGTGTGTTTTGCAGTATCCCAAACATTAGATACACACTGGTTCAGAGTGATGCTCGATAAACCAGTTCATGCGTCGGGTCTAAAATCTCCTGAAACCCTGCAGTTGATCTAAATGTGACAGCGCTGACACAGCGTCTGTAATAGTGCAAACAAAGACCACGTCCTCCTCAGCCACGCTTTTATGGCAGAACAAATCAAACATGGGTCACAAGACTTTGGACTTTCATTGACTGAACCCGTGTTTTGATATCGTTTGTTTTTTTCACACGAGCACTTGTAGTTTTATGAAGAATTCGAGCACAGAGAATTTATACTTGTATAACTACGCATGTGACGAACAAAGAACCTTGAACCTTGAAATGACTCCCACATCTCAGAGGTGCAGGAGTGCCCATGTAGGGGGGGGGGTCAGATCTGTGTGTGTCCTGTGTTCAACTGGAGAGAGAGAGTGATTTTAAGTTTTTGGTCATTATTATTCTATAAATGCATTGATTGCCAATATTTACATATGGCGTACTGACAGTACTCTGATCTTTTACAGCACTTAAAACTCCTCATGTTTTGGTAGATAAGCATCTGAGGTTGGTTAAATATCAGGCAGGAGAAAAAGGAAGAGGGTGGTGTAACAGAGCAGCATGCTAGGAAACAAGTGAGATGGAGGAAGAGGATCTGGAAGAAGAAGAAGATGCAGCTGTATTGCTAATGGCGATGAATCCAAACAGGATTTTTATCCTACATAAAACTATCAGGTATAGTGATGGTGTTCTCTGCTTCTGCCATTCCTGTTGAAATGATTTATTTATCGTGGGTTAGAGTGAGAAAGGTAAGACTGGCTAAATAATTCAGTGTGGATCGAGTTGCAGCGTGACCACAGCTGTTTCCTATGTAGATAAAGTCAATGTTTGATCGCACTAATGTTTTAAATGTCACTTTTTCAAATATCCACAACAACAGTTATGTTGGAATACATTTTGGTGACTGGCACGAACACGATGTCCTTACTGATCCACGTAGATACACTCGCAGTGTTGATCCCATGGTGAATCCTGATATCCCGGTGAAACACGAGCGCCTGTCGGGTCTGTCTGATAGAGCTGTGCATGTACCCACACGACGACACTCTACAGGCTCGTTCATCTGTGGAACTTCACCAGAATTAGTTCTTTTATTGAAAGTCATGGAAAATTTTTGGATGTATCAGGAAGAAAAGTTTGAGGAGGAACAAGCAAAGGAGAAACATCCAACTCTCCGACATGATCAGGATGAGGTATGTTTGGTGGAATAATCTAAGAGTATTTCTGATGGAAAGATTTGTGTTTTCTGCGAACACATGCAGGACGTGAGAGCATTAATGTTCGTTCTAACAGTGTTTTCCTCCAATACTTTCACAGGTATTGAGTGTTTAACAAAAATGTACTGATTCAAAATGTTAGTGAACACAGACCCAGCAAGCATCCTGCAAAAACTAAAAGAGGATTGAACACCAGATAAAGTTGTTTTAACAGTGTTCAGATTTAAAAGTCAAATCTTTGGAAGAAGAAAGACACAGATTTAAGATTTTTAGGCATCTGTAGGTGAATATTTCCTAAATGAAACTAATGTGCACTACTGTGAAAAGCATTTGTATCCTTCCTGATTTGTTACTTTTTTGCTTAATTGTATGATTTAAATGTTTCAAATCATCAAACAAATGTTAATATTAGTCAAAGTGGTGATTTATTCTGCTGATCAAACCTACCTGTGCCTGTGTGAAAAACAAATGTTCTAATACAAACCCAATGCCACCCCCTCCACAAATGCTTGTCTCACAAAAATACCTGAACATTTTGCCGAAAGAGATTTTGGTGATCCAGTTATTCTCAACAACCCTGCAGTGTGGCTGAATTTAAACTAATTTATGTTGCTAGGTTTAAGGGAATTCAACAGTTTTCCCTTAAAAAATAAAATCCTCATTTAAAAATTACATTTTGCATTTATTGTGTTATTTGTTTGATGATCTAAAGCTTGAAGTGTGACAAATATGCAAAAAATCATGAATGAGGCAAATCACTGTAGGTGTGAATAAACAAGAAGACTAAACAAATGAATCTGTTAAACTCAATAAGATATTGTGTGATTTTAAAACTAACTGAAATGTAAAAATATGCAGAAGTTACACAGAATAATCATTTTACATAATGTTGCGTTGCCACCGAGACGCCAGCATGACCAGCTCCACTGCCATGATAAATGCCGTAACTCCAATTTCCAGGTGGTGCCAGGCGGTGGTGCTGTTCTCAGCTGTGAGAGTTCTGTATAAATGCATATCATATCCAAATATACTGGAGTTTTAAGTTTGCGTTTGGTCCTGAATAAAGAAGACAGTGGTGAGTGAGTATTCGTTGTAACAGTTTCACTGTCACTGCTCACAGCGACATCTACAGTTTGCACTTCACTCCAGATCAGACCAGAAGTAATCAGTAATTAGTAACTGATTACTTTTTTCAAGTAACTTGACCAACACTGGGAATGATCACTCCATTCAGCCAGACTGAGTGTACGGGATCCATAGACCTGAGCTAGCGGACCAGCAGAAGATGAGCAGCCTATGGAAGGCAGTCCTGCTGTGGACTATGAATGCTGCTCTGTCCCAGAACTTTCTGGCCTTGACGAGGCAGCAACTGAAAACATTTAGTTAAAAGAAAAAACAGAAGCATTAAGATAAAAGATGCAGGAACTCAAAATTCAGTCGGATTTGCTGGATCCGATGATAGCGTTAGAGTCGACTCAGTGTCAGCCAGTACACCCGAGCTAGCGAGAGACGTTACACAGTTTAACCCAGCTCACCTGTAATATTACTCTGTGATGTGTGACCATCACTTTATGTCAGGGGTGTCAAACTCAAACACACAGTGGGCCAAAATTCAAAACTGGAACAAAGTCGCGGGCTAACGTTAATATTTATTGGAAAAAAAATCTTCCTCCAGATATAAGAATGAATCTTTTCTTATGGACTCAAACAAGTTTTTCTGAAAAACTGAATGTGGAACAAGCAAAGCTTAATACTAAACAATATATATATTAGCTGTATAATACCAGTAGGCCAGCTCTAATAGTAATGTGGTATGGCTTCGCGGGCCAAATATAACTAGGCTGCGGGCCAAATTTGGCCCGCGGGCCAGAGTTTGACACCTATGGTTTATGTGTTTCGGGGGCAGTTTGAGCAGTCTCTCCACCACCTCGTTCACACATCAAGAAAAACTGCTGAGAAGGAACAAACCGTATCTGCTGTCCATGCAACACACATGGTTTGCAGCTTTTCTTACTGCATAATTATTATTTGTGCATTAACATTTTTGAAAAGAAACTACGTGTCAAAAGATATGAATTCTACATTCAACTTTTTACTGCAATTTTGAACTACACAAAATGTCATATCTGTGTCTATTTTTTATTTTTTATTACTTACATTTTGTTAGTTTTTTATAAACTTCTTGTCCGAGTGTGTCTTTTATCCTGATCAGAGGCCGTCATTGCGCCTCCACGATGAGCTCTTGTATGTTTCTATGAATAAGAAACGAACAACTGAAGGGTTTTGAAGATGTACATGAAGTGTGCATTTAATTCTAATGGATTCTATTATTATTTTTATTTTTTTATTTAATGAATACTGTTAACCTGCTTCAATGTGAATTCTGAACCTGCATTGTTTTAATTTCCTGTGAATCACTTTAAGTTTTGGGTTTTCTTCTGCCGATACTCTTTGATGGTAATACCAACACAGATCCCCTGACAGTTAAAATGAAGGTTCGAGTACCTATCCCTGACTTTCAGCAACCAACACTAACTGCTGACATTTGAACGATCAGCCAGAGAAAAAGAAAATGTATTAACTGATTATCTTTAAAACCTAAGGAAGAAATAATCCACACATACTAACTGTGAGAATAAAAAAGGTGGTGAAGAAAAAATACTGAGATTTAATGATGATTTCATGAAGTGCTCAGAGACTCCATGACTGAAAATATTCCTGGACTATATGCTGTCTCTCGCTCTCTTCTCTGTCCCCTCACACCCAATCAGTAGTGTCAGATGATTGTTGAGCCTGGTTTCATCCTGTTTCTGCTGTAACAAAACTAATTTCCCACGTGTGGGTAGGGATGGGTATCGTTTAGGTTTGATCCGATACCGGTGCCAAATCGGTACTTTTGAAACTGTGCCGGTGCTTAAAGAATGGAGAACACAAAATTGGTCCAAAAACCTCTCATGTTCAGCTGTTTTTTTGTAAAAAGATAACAATGTTAGCCTTTTCTGCAGCTATGTGGCATATATGGTATCACTCTATCAAACAAGAAGACAGCCGCATGTAGCTATGATGGTGTTTGCTAGTTCACCTTACATGCATTAATGTAATAACGCGGTTAGCCTACTCAACGTAAATTACACACGAACAACATTAAGCTACTCACGCAGAGAAGAACGGCTGCTGCTGCATCATCATCCTCATCATTTCTGCTACACTGGCAGGGCTAGGGGCCAGGACTCTCCTCTTCGGGTTCTTGGGGGATGTTGCTAACTCCGGGTCCGATAACAGGCACCACACCCGCAGTAGATGTGCTCGGTGTGAGGTCTCGCAGCAAGCTATCAAATACGGCGCATTTCTGGGCTTTTTAAAAAAACGCTATGCGTCGCCAGGTGTTTCACCAGATTCGAGGTGTTACCTCCTTTGACAGTATCACAGTATCAGCTTAAAGCACTTGTTGCTGCTGAGTTTGCATATTTTGCTGTGAAGTACAGCCAGACTTTGACCACTTTGCCTTGGGCATTTTTAATCTGTAGCTCTGCTCTAAAAGAACGTACGTACCTGGACCCGCCTACTATCCTCGGAAACGTAAAATGATTGGCTAGAATCTAAAGTGTATCACAGCTCAGGAAAAAAAAGCACCGAAATGTGCGCTGCTTTTCGGTCTGGTTACTACCGTTTATGTCAGAACACCGGTACCCATCCCTACGTGTGGGACTAATAAAGGTTATCTTATCTTATCTTAAAAGGGAGTTTTTCTTTCCCACTTCCAAATTCTTGCTCATAGGGGTTGTGTGACTGGTCAGATTTCTTTATTAAACTGTAGGCTCTTTACCTTACAAAGTTAGCACTGTAAATAAGACTGAATTGAATGTTGTTCTACGTAGTAAGAAATCACAGATCTGCATTAAAATGTGTTTGTTATTGTGCTTGTTTTCATTCTCTTTTGCAGTCGCCTGGTTCAGCGTCACCTTCTCCACCAGGAGCAGAGTCCTCCAGTCAGCACCTGCTACAGCACGACAGCTTTGAAACCTCTCCCACCAGTAAAGAGGTGAGGTCAACACTGGATTACTCGTTCAGTAGTCAACTCACACAGTTAACAATTAACATACTTTTGTCTTTTCATTTACAGTCCAGGAGAAGCCTTGCGTCCTTTCCCACATATGTGGAAGGTGAGTTTCAAATTGCCCCACAACTCCATGATATGAGATCATTTCATATGTCAGTCATTAATGGCCCAGACTAAGCCTGATCTATGGGAATATGACCACAGATACAAAGAAACTGATCTTTCTCTGAGGGACTCTCCTTCAGTGTTAGGGTGAGGAGCATGTCCTACTGGGAGGAGCCCCCAGCGTAGACCCAGGACATGCTGGACAGATGTGCTGGTAACAGCTCAGTGTTTGGAGTAAGAGGGAGGTCTTCTTAGGCTGTTGCCTCAGCGACCTGACTTCAGATAAGCAGAAGAAAATGTCTGCATTATTTATTGTGTTGTTGTTTAGCTTTTATTGAAGTGGTTGTCATGAATTTTCCACGACATAATGCACAGTGCACCACACTTTTCAGTTGTGATTTATTCGTTTTTTAAATTATTTAAATGATTTTGTTATTTTGTTGTACTTTAGTAATACGTGAACATCTTCTGTAGTAACATGCCATATTGAACGCCTGCACAGTTAAGCAGCATCATTCATCACTGAAGAATGCGATTCATGGTTTGAAATGCCTTCATTCGTTTTTGATATTGTCCATTAAATGGTTCTTACATTTAACTCAATATCTGAGTGTTTCTTAGTTTAGACTAGTTGGTTAGTTTTTAGTTCTTTCTGCCTCCCCTCCTCAGCACCAGCGTCACCCTGTGTGACACACGGCCCGATGTTGAGCCACTCTGTCGTTCCTGCTCTGATCTTCACACAGATCAACTGGAGCAAAATTCAGCCATTATACTCATTTCAACACAACAACACATTTTCCCGTATGTATGCTGCATATACATTTGCACGCTGTAGCTCAGTCACACATGAATATCATGCGTCTTCATAATTCCAGCCTGACGTCTCAGTTACACAGGAACACTTTCACAATCACAGTGCACTCTGTATTATTTCCTTTTTAAATCATACACGTTAAAGTCACAGAGTCTCACATCTGTCTTTTACTCCCACACACAGAGAGCCAAGAACACATCATAACTCAAACTGCATTGTATTATTCATCATATTGATCCGTTTATTCGTGACTATACTTTGATTAGAATCAAGCTTGATTAACTATTAAATAACATGCAGATAAACTCTGTTTTAACATGACATCAGTTTAACCAAAAACCTGGATGTTAAGTGCTTTGATTCCACTTTTGGGCAAAGATGAGTCAAACTCTTCGATACCACAGGGGAAAAGACCAAAAGTTAAAATGCTTTGTTTTCCAGAACATTTTTCTTGTAAAACAAAGGGGGGCCCAGCAAAAACAGTGTGGAGCCACTGGTCTGCCACGTACCGACAGAGCAGAGCAGCTACATGAACTCTGCTCCCACAGAGGTCGATGATGTTGTTACATTTTGGAAACATGGATACTGTTGCAGTGATGAGAAAACAAATACACCCAATCAGTCTCTGTTCTCTACCACAACATTTAGCAGCAATGACTTTAAATATTTTTTCTGTATGACTTTACGACACGGTTACATCATTGTGGATCTTTAGTTCATTGTAGCTTGCTGGCATTTGCTTGTGAACAGTTCTTGAGTTGAGGTCAGGACTTTGCCCGGCCTATAGCAGCACCTTTTCTTTATCAGCCGTTCGCTGACCCCGCTTTGGCCAAGCATCAGCTATTGGACAGATCGTTTCCCGTCTGATTTCAGTATACAGAGGAGTTCATGGATGACTTAGTGACTGCAAGCTGCGTAGTTCCTATGGCTACAAATCCCAATCACCACTGTGGCTGGCAGTTAGTGACTTTATGCACTGATATGCTGTGTGTGGTTTTGCTAGATGTGACCAAACATTTCCACTTTGGTTTGTTCAGCTCTGACTGCTTCAGAGCCCCAAACTGTCAGAAGCTCTAATTTTAATGATGGGGTCACACTTGCTGTTGATCATTTAATCACGTGCGCGTCATTATCATCACCTTGCTGTACCCTGTTCATTCCTATGGAAGCAGTAAGGGTGCTTAATGTTTCCTCAGGACTTTAATCCTATAAAAAGTCAAACTCAGCCTGAGGAGAAGCTGTTCCTATCTGAAGGAAAATCACTTATGTATAGCCTTTATGCGTTTTTGTGTATGTGTGTATCATGTAGTGACTCTGTGTCATACTCCAGTTCCAGGTCCCTGTGACCCAGATGACCTAATTGATGGAATCATCTTTGCAGCCAACTATCTTGGCTCCACTCAGCTGCTGTCAGATAAGACACCATCGAAGAACATCCGAATGATGCAGGCACAGGAAGCTGTCAGTCGGATTAAGGTAAAACACACATAGTTCAGGCTCAGACACACTGTAGTGTGAAGTTGTCTGCACAGAGTCCCAGACTCAGTAATTCAGTGTCTGTGTATACAAACCAGCCAAAACATCAAAACCACGAGTAACATTGTATCGACCTCGCTCCAGAACAGCTCTGACGACTGGCAGCATTGTGTATTTATAGTTCAAAACTTCAGCATGAGAAAAAAATTTATTTCCTACGTGCAGAATTTACTGCGTCCACTTTCCAGGAGCACAAAGAAGGCACCGTGCACATGAAAGTGTTGCATCGCAAGCATTGCAGCAGCTCCAAACCCCTGCATGCAACTCTTTACTCTCAAAGTCCGGTTTGTGCAAATCAAATGACTTTTGACTGTTTGAAGGGCAGAGTTGTTTATTTACAAACATTCACAGTGTTCATAGAGAGACCAGCAACAATTGATTGATTAATTGATTGATTGGTAATTTATTTCAATATGTGAACAATATACAAGTACATTTAGAAAAGAAATGAGAGAAAAAAATATACTATACAAATTACATACAAAAAAACATTCTGATTAATTTACATGTTGAAAGGGAGTGGGAAGAAGTATACACTTATTTAATCCCACCCCTGTCCCATAAATTATCAGTGAATATTTAGTCAGCTTCCTTACTGATATAATTTGTAATAAAAATAGTGAACAGATTTCTGATATACTATATACTATAATATCACATCATGAATTTTTTGTTTGTTTGTTTTTAAATAGAGACATTCACTTAATTTAAATATTTTCCTTTTCTTTATAGATCGAGAAGATCATATTTTTATAACTCTTTTTGAACAGTTTTATGTTTGGACATTGCTTTAATTCCATATTCAGTTTGTTCCATAGTTTCACTCCTTGAACAGAAACACAAAAGCCTTTTCTTGTAGTACGTACCTTCATTGTTTTGAAGTTACAAAAACCCCTTAAATTATAACTTCCTTCTTTCAAAAAAAACATACTCTGAATATTTCCTGGCAGTTCTTTATTTTTTGCTTTGAATAGAATTTGTGCTGTTTGGAATTTCACTATATCGTCAATTTTCAATATTTCAGACTGCAAAAATAGTGAGTTTGTATGTTCCCTATAACCTGCATTGTGGATGATTCGAATTGCTTTCTTTTGAAGAGTAAAAAGTGAATGTAATGTGGTTTTATAGTTATTGCCCCAGACCTCTGCACAATAGCTTAAGTATGGTGAAACCAGTGAACAGTAGAGAATATGAAGTGATGTTCTGTCAAATACCTGTTTTGCCTTGTTTAGTACTGCAATGCTTCGTGATACTTTGGAATGAATATATCTTACGTGAGCTCTCCAGTTAAGTTTTTCATCTATTATTACCCCCAGAAATTTATTTTCACTGACTCTTTCAATATCAACACCATTTATTTGAATCTTTGCATTAGTATTTAAATGCAACAAATAACATCCAGCAGTGGGGAAAATATCATTCCCTGTTTTGATAAACAGTGAAATATTTTTATAATTTATCTGTATTTGAAAAAACAAAAAATCCCTATGAAAGCTGATCAGTAATTTATTGTTTGGGCTCCGTGATTTAAAACTATGTTCTAATAACACAAGACCCAACATGAATCTGGGCAGCACCGAGCATGATGATGCAGTGTTGACTGAAGCCTGTGTCTGGGTGCATGCTCAATGTTTCAGGTAAGTAGATCCCAAAACCTTGATTCTCTTCATCTGGACCTTTGGGTCCTGTTGATGGGTAACCAGGAGGACCCAAACTGCATTAAATCAGGCTTCTTAGACAGCCGATGGCTGGACCCACAACACGCACTATTTTGAAAAGTAAAATATATAATCTGCCTTCATAAGTTCCAGTATTAAGCATCGTAACTGCTTTATAATAATAAAGCTTTAACTTAAACACCTCCCTGACAGCCTTATGGGAATTAAAAAATAACTTATCCCATGTAAACTGATACCTGTTTGGATCAGAACATATAGAAAATACCACCTTTTCTGTCAGGGCATAGGAAGGGGATAACAAAAACCTAGAACATGTTCTTTAAGATGAAAACTTTACTTCAGTTCAAGAACTTATATCAAATTATGGAATCACAACAGGAAATGTCTTAAATATCAGAATCTGAAATCTGTCATACAGAAAAGATTTAAGCCCAAATAACTGAATCTGTGCAGATTCTGTGACCTCCGGGGGTCCAGAGCCAGCTGAGGTCAGCAACTCAAGTCAGGGGAAGCCCTGGGGAAAATCAGTCTCCCAGACTCGAAGCCAACATTAACTGTATGTGTTATTATATCCCTGGGCTCTGAAGGAGCAGGAGAAACTCCTCTACAATCCATGGAGCCAGAAAATGTGGCCTCGGGAGAAATTGATGATTTCTAACTTTATCAATCCGGAGTTAGCAGACAGTTTATAGACTCAGGAATGACTGACACACGGTTATTAAGTCCCGGCTCAGAAGGAACACAGTCTTTTTGATTCACCACATCTGGAGATGACTGCCCATGGCATGGACATCGCTTCCACCGAGAAGGAGGGGCTGGAGAGGCAGGGGAAACTGATGGTGATGTGGAGAAGTTCTGATGTGGCTGCGCCCCAGTGCTTTATAAAAAGCCTGTGCTGGTGTGTAAACAGTCATTATCACTCACCACTTGAAATTGCTCAGCAAGCGAGGGGTGACGGCAGCGTGAAGGCTGTTTTCTCCGGAAAGAGGGAGGATCCTGCGAATTGCCTGATTCGTCCTCCTGCAGGCTGGGCAGGTGAGCGGTTGCAGTTGGGGGGTGGAGATGCAGTGTATTAAGAAGAAAGTCCTGTATAAGCAGGTGAAGAGAATTCAGTAGCCAGGGGAGACCAGAAACCAGTCGCTGTAGCCGGCTAGCTAGAGCGCGACGATACTCCTCCTCAGGAAAATCCAGCCACTGGTTGCATAGCTGATCCACGTCTGATCCAGCTCTTCAGACGGCGCGAGTGCTGCTGGGTCCATTGTGTGGTTGCGTCGTTCTGTCATGAAACGGCTGTGGCAGGCAGGATGTAGGACCCAAAATGCAGGACACACTGTCCACAGACAGAGGAATAAACTCAAGGAGGCTGCTTTATTGCAGTGGCAAAACATGCACAAAAAATACTTGCAAAACCAAAAACTAGGAACTGGGAACTAAATGCAAAACACTGCAAAACCAAGAAACTAGGGCCGGCGATCTCAGGGGGAACCACACACAGCATGAGGGGACGATGCGACACTGACTGAGAGAAACACACAGCTAAAACACACAGAGGGATGACGAGGGAACGGGACACAGGAGGAGAGCACAGCTGGGAGTAATCACACACAATAAGACCAGGGGAAGCCAAACTAGACACACTGACATGAGACACAGACTTACAAAGTAAAACAGGAAACACAAGACATAGACGCAGACAGCTGACAGGGGAGACAGAGCAACCATGGAACACAGTGGGAAAGAGGACTCGAATGCAGGCATTTACTGGAGTTGTGAGGGAGGTTTATTGCAAAAGGCAAACACAAGAAGTTCACAGACAGTTTCCAGGAGACAAACACAGATGGACCAGTAACGAGCACATGAAATACACACAGAGGGACACTGGGAAATCACACACAGCTGTGAGACACAGCTGGACCTGATTAACCTGACGACACAGAGGAAACACTAACACCAGGGACCAACAGGGGGAGCACCAGCCCAGAATCCCAGAACCAGAACACAAATCATCCCAAAGCTAGAACATGAGTCCACAAATGATAATAATAATGATAATAATAATAATAATAATACACCAAACCCCAAATCACTGCGTCCACAGACTCAGGGCCAGAATACAAAGAACACTAACACAGAAACCAAAAGACTAGAAATGATAAATACTGACAAAATCAAAGTTCAGTAATAATGCAAAACTCAAACTGACTGACCCAGGACTGTGACGGTATGAGTGTTAGAGCTAAAAACATTTGTAGTTTTCAGTTGGGTTATGCTTTAAAGAAACTGATCAACTTTAAACCAATGGGGAATAAGCAAATGCTGAGTGCATGCAGTTAAAACCACTCTGCAGGTGAGAGAATGAATTTTATAACTGCTAGAAGTTGATTTGGTCAAACAGGCTTAAATAATATTACCACACATGACTGATTGAATGATTGGGCTGCTGAAATAAATGGGCTGATTAGTCTGAGAATGTGAGCTCGTTAACAGGGACTGTCAGTATGATCTGAAATATATGGAGTCTGGATTTAGTGCTAACAAAAGAAAATTTCAGCTAAAAGTAAGATGATTGCAAAACAGCAAGAGATAAGAGGTTCGTCATAGCCGAGTGCTCGGGGTAAAATGAAGGGACTGCAACAACTCGTCCCCATTCCCTTCATTTTACCCTTGACATCTTAAACTGGACTTTACCTTTCTGATTCTTCGACACTTGTGCGAATATTAAAGACACAAACGGGAGAAATTTGCGTGCTGTTGCTGAAGCAGGCTATCGCCTGCTCCCGGTGGCAAAACTGGCTGATGGGAGCATGTTAAGGTTTGCAGATGAGAGAATGGAAACAAGCTCCTGTGCAACTGCCCAGCGCTAAAGCCAGAGCTAGATTGCCCTTGCTGACAAGAGAACTGCTTTTGCTGTGGCTTTTATATGAGTGTTTCCAGGACGGTGATGATGGCAGGACTGTAGATTAGGCTGCAAGCATTTGAAGTGATTGATAAGCAACTAATAGCATGGATGTGACAAAGACATGGACATGACTGCACAAAGACATCTGCAAAGGAGAATGACAGACGTGCAGTAAGATTTAACCTCGGCTCCCCGCTCTATGTCAAGTGATGGGGGTACGTGGCGGGGTGTGGTTTATGGCTCGACTGCAGGGGAGGGGTTGAGCAGCGGGTTCGGGGTGTGGTGTCAGGGGAGGCTGATCTCCATCATCTCATCATGTCTCCACTGTTTGAGTTGGGTGCTGGGATCTTACAGGGAGAAGAGTGGACAGAGCAAGTGACGGAGTGTGAGCCCGCCAAAGTGGCTCAAGAGCTGCTCGACTACTGGTGCACACAAAAGGCACTATAAATAAAGCACTGTGGGCTGTGGAAGTTCACACTACATGAGGTGTATTATTTACTATCAGTGTTGGGAAGGTTACTTTTAAAATGTATTGCATTACAGAATACAGAATACATGCCCCAAAATGTATTCTGTAACGTATTCCGTTACGTTACTCAATGACAGTAACGTATTCTGAATACTTTGGATTACTTAATATATTATCGTGCTTTTTACAACAACGTGAATGTACTATTGCTGTGTGATTTATTACTGTTACTGAAGGTCCGCGACTCCGAGCCGTAGTAAAGGGACCTCTGACTAATACGGCGGGGTCCCTGTCGGCTCGTAGCCGAAAAATAGCTTTACTTTGTTGTGTGGGTCAATTTTTCTTGGCAGACACAGAGAGAGGCGTTGAAAGACTGCTCCAACGGAACTTATTGTTTCGGAGGAAAACACGAACACAGTGTACAGTCGAGTCTTAACAGCTTACTTACAACTGGGCTCGTCAGGCACTCAGGCTGCAGTGGTTATTATTATATTTACATGCTTCCTGCTCCCGTTTCTGCTCGATGACAACTCGTACCTTTCCACTCCCCTTTTTCTCCCTCCTCGCGCTCACAGACCCATAACGTGTATGGCAGTGCATTCTCCCTGCAGCACGGACTACACTGCCCATGATGCTACATTCTTTAGAGCTATACCTGTAGCATTCTGCCTGTTAGCTTAGCACAACAACAACAATAACGAAAAGGCCTCTCTCACCCAGGAAACACACAGTCGCAGAGAGAGAGAGAGAGCGTCGCCCTGTAACCATGGCAACCGTAACGCTGCCGCCTGGAACAACAGAACGTAGCTGTCAAACAAAACCCAAACAGTCCTGACCCGCGACAAAATGAAACAGGAAAGTACTGCAGTGTAATCCATTTATTTCAACAAAGTAACTGTATTCTGAATACCACCTTTTTAAACGGTAACTGTAACGGAATACAGTTACTCATATTTTGTATTTTAAATACGTAACGGCGGTACATGTATCCCGTTACTCCCCAACACTGTTTACTATATACAGGGAATAAATATTATGCATCCAATTCATTATCCACAAATAAACAGTAAAATCTCCATATGGATATTTTCCATTGCACATGGTTAGCATGCATTGGGAAATCTAGGGAACCGACTGCATTAAATCAATTTTACTGTGCTGCTTACAAGCCTGGGTGACTTAGACAAGCCTTGTTTGTTAATCATTAATATTCTGTATATATATAGAGGTTGTTGAAAGGCTGGAGCATTAGCCTTTTGGCGCACCATTGACAGTTATTTAATACACAAATCCATGTTTTACTGTATATTGACCTAACCCGTGATTGTCCTGTGTGCTTTATTCCATGCTTGGCAGATGGCTCAGAAATTGGCCCAGAACAAGAAGAAGGTGCAGTACCTACATGTCTGTCTTATCCTTATCACTGCTGAGTGCAGCTTTTCATGTGTTTTACTCTCTGTCCTGTTCAGTGTCTATATGATTATCGTTGTCCTTTGATACTTTTAAAATGTCATTCTGATGAATTATCGTTTTGCTGAACCTAAATGCCAACGTTGCATGTCTTATGTTGGACACTGGACACGTTGGACTGTCTATGTAACCTGGAAAATCTCATTCTTGGTAAAATAGAAAAGTTTTTGTCATGTAAGAAATCCATGTGTTCGATGCAGGTAACAGTCTGAATCTTCTGACACGTTTGGGGTTTGTGGGGTTTGGCCTTGTAAGCCCTGTTATTAGTTAGTTATTATTTATCCAGAGAGAGACCTGGCATCAAATTCAAATTCAAATTCAAATTTTTATTTGTCACGTACACAGTCATACACAGTACGATATGTAGTGAAATGCTTGGACAACTGCTCGTGACCTAAAGAAAACAAAAAAGCAAAAGGCTATGAATAAGATAGGAAATAAATATGAAAAATTAAAAAGGGTAAATTTAACTAGGAAGGAATAAAATATAAATTAAGGTTAAAAATGAAATAACTGTACAACACAAATTAGAATGAAGGGTAAATTTAACTGGGAGAATAAGATAAATATATAAATTAAAGTTGAAAATAAAATAACTGTACAACAAAATACACAATATAGAACTATATAAGAATGTATGAAGAAATCTAAATATAAATAAATATATACACAATAACAGCAACTGTACAAGTATTAACCGGAAATGAAGAATATAGTGACCAGTGTTGTGCAAAACCAAAGTCCAGAAAGTCCAGTGTGTGTGTAAGAACCATATGTGTGGGTCAGTACTGTGTGGTGGTGTGATTGAGAGACCGTATCGCCTGCGGGAAGAAGCTCCTCCTCAGTCTCTCTGTGTTGGTCTTCAGGGAGCGGAATCGCTTTCCTGACCTCAACAGAGAGAACAGTCTGTTGTTGGGATGGCTGAGGTCCTTCACCATCTTCCTGGCCTTGGTCCAGCACCGCCTGCTGTAGATTGAGTGCAGGTCAGGGAGCTCGGAGCGGATGGTGCGCTCAGCTGACCGCACAACCCTCTGTAGAGCTCGTCTGTCCTGCATGGTGCTGTTCCCGAACCAGGTTAAGATGTTTCCCGCCAGGATGCTCTCTATGGTGCACGAGTAAAAGTTCCTGAGTAAAAGTTGGAAGTCTCTCAAGCGTCTGAGGTGGTAGAGACGCTGTCGGGCCTTTTTCACCACGGTGTTGATGTGACAGGACCATGACAGGTCCTGCGTGATGTGAACTCCGAGGTATTTGAAGCTGTCCACTCTCTCCACTGGGCACTCGTTGATGACAGGGGTCTGGTAGTTCCTCTCCTGCTTAGTGCTGAAGTCCACTATCAGCTCCTTTGTCTTACTGACGTTTAGAAGGAGGTTGTTCCTCTGGCACCAGTTCTCCAGATTCCTAATCTCCTTCAGGTAGGCCGTCTCGTTGTTATCAGAGATCAGGCCCACCACGACGGTGTCGTCAGCAAACTTGATGATGGTGGTGGAGCTGGTAGTGGCCACGCAGTCATATGTGTACAAAGAGTACAGCAGGGGGCTCAGAACACACCCCTGGGGGGCTCCAGTGCTGAGAGTGGTGGAGGCTGAGACATGTCCACCCATCCTTACTGCCTGTGGTCTGCCAGTTAGGAAGTTGGAGATCCACTGACACATAGATGAGCTGAGTCCCAGATGCTCCAGCTTGGTGGTGAGTGTGGAGGGAATTATGGTGTTAAATGCAGAGCTGTAGTCTATGAAGAGCATTTTAACATAATTCCCCCTTCTAGTGTCCAAGTGAGTGAGTGATGTGTGGAGGAGATGAGAGATGGCATCGTCTGTGGAACGATTTGGACGGTAAGCGAACTGTAGTGGGTCCAGTGTGTCTGGTAGTGAAGAAATGATGAAGTCTCTGACCAGGCGTTCAAAGCACTTCATCACTACTGAGGTGAGGGCTACAGGGTGGGGTTTCTTCGGGACAGGAACAATGATGGACTCTTTGAAGCATGTGGGGATCACCGACTGAGATAAAGAGATGTTGAATATCTCAGTGAACACAGGAGCTAGCTGGTATGCGCAGTCTCTGAGGATACGACCTGGGATGCCGTCTGGTCCTGCTGCTTTCCTGGTGTTCACTCTCTTGAAGGCTCTCCTTACTTCATGCTCGGAGATGACGAGCACGTTTCCGGTGCTGGCAGTATCTTCCTGTCTGCAGCCGTTAGCGCCGCTAACACTAGCATTGTTGGAGACCTTAGCTGCAGCCTCGAAGCGAGCATAGAAAGTGTTCAGCTCGTCTGCCAGAGTCACGGCCGCGTTCGTCATGCTGGTTGTTGGTGCTTTATAGTCCGTTATTGTCCTTAGTCCCCGCCACAGGCTCCTAGAGTCACTCTGTTGGAGTTGTGACTCTAGTTTCCTCCCGTAGCGCTGCTTCGCCTCTTTCACCGCCCTCCGCACGTTATATGACGCGGCTTTGTACGGGTCCATGTCCCCCGTCATGAGTCCCGTGTTGTAGGCAGCGGTGCGGGATCTCAGAGCGTCGCGGATGGTTTTATCCACCCACGGCTTCTGGTTGGGAAACGTTGTGATAGTCTTTGTCTCCACGGTATCATCCGCTAGTTTCCCGCTAGTCATGGCCGCTAAAGAGCACGTGGCCACAACTATGATCTGTGGTATGTGCTCTGTGTCTCTTTTTAGGAATCAACAACCTGACTGCAGGTCGCACAATAGATGACCTGCATAATGTTGAATTAGAAACATTATAATTTAACATTTGGTCCCAGTCTTTGTCCTGAACGGAGCATATATTGAATGTACTTAACATTAGACAGCAACAGTATGCTGTCCTCGCCCTGAGTCTCTTAGTTTCACCAGCTAGACAGCGAGATAACGATGTTCCAATAACCAGACTTATTTTCCTTTTTGCGCTGATTTATTGAAGAATGGCCTCTGACCATTGCCTTCTCTTTGACCATCGTAAAAATGAAAGTACAAAATACTGTATTAGCTAACTAACATTGTAAACTAGCTTGTTACCCTCTTACTGCAAGCTAACAAGATAAAACTTTCAAATGTACAAATTATCGTACCATTTTTACACAAAACAAAAGATAATAGTTATTTTATCGACACTCATACTTACAGACATATCTTGTCCAAGGCAACAACATTTTAAGGTCCGTATCAGCTTAGAACGATAACATTACGGTATCACTTTCCGCCATCTTTTATTTCTTCTTCACGTTCTCATTTTTTTCCTTTCCCAAAGTAACCGAACCCAAAGCAGCCACTAGAGGGAGCTCTAGGGCAGCTTACAACTATAATATCCGATTTAAGTTATAAAAGGCAGAACAAACAGTATTGCCTCATGCCTCATTCACACCCATTCATACAAGCACTTTCTTCTATACTTCAGTGCTGCTTGGCTAACATTCACACTCCGATGGATGCATAGTCGAGACCACGGTTTCCCAGAGGTGTAGGAATGCGACTTTGGCAGGAATGAACTGCACTGAGTAGGTTACAGGGAGAGAAACCTTTGACGAGCAGAAACCTCTCACCTGCAGTGCAGCTCAGCTCTGACTTGGGATGATCGTGTTTCTGGATGAAAGTGTGGAGAGCTTTAACTCCACTGGCTCTCGTTTTGTTCCCAGATGCCTCTCGCATGATGAATGTGGTAACGCTTTGGTCATCATGTAGTGCATACACGAGGATTTCATTCTCTGGGTCACTTGATGTAGATACCCATACTGGGACAACTGTAGAGGAGTACATGGTGTCCATGCACTGATCTGTTTGATGTAGCTTCATTTGTTCCTTCCGTTGACTCAGCGTTTTTTGAGTTTTTACACTCTCCCCATGCTCGTCACTGCACTCTCTCTCTTCCTTTTTGTGATCTTCCTGTAAAACTTTGGGTGTTTTCCTAAACATGTTTCACAAAGACTTCTTCTTTTGCAGCTTTTTGACTGATGTCCTGGTTAAAAACATCCAAAGCACTTTTTCTTTTTTTTGGACAAATATTTGACGTCTCGAACTGTTTTTTCCTTGAATTTCAACATGTCTGAAAACCACTGTATCTTCACAGAAGGTTCACCTCTTGATTTCCGTTTTCTCTTCAGAGTTCAGAACCTTCTGTGTCTTGCAAAGAAGTGTTTAGCTTTATTTCTGCAAGTCCACTTTCTATTTTTTACTGTCTGTTAATGGATTCATTGTTCTTTTAGAAGTGCTTTTATGATTCTTTTTATTGTTCATTAAAATAGCAAATAACAAATGAACTTAGACATTAAGTAGATGAGTAAAGGTAGCAAAGAAGGCAAGACTTGGTGGTGGAAGGAGGAAGTACTGGAAAGTATTTAGAGGACGAGGCTGACAAAGATGAATAGTCAGGAGTAGTTAGAGTCTAGAATAAAGACAAAGGAGGCAAAAGCACTAGAAAAGGCTTATCATGAATGTGAGACTAGACGGTGTGGAGGGCAACATGAAGTATCAACTTGCTTGAGAACATCAGTTTAATTTAAGTTGATGATGCTGATTAGATTCACTCACTCAAAAATGACTTGTGTCAGTTGGCTTGACAGAAAGATTTAGGTCCAAATGATGTGCAGCAGGAGGATTAAGGATAGGAATAAAAATGTAGTAACTCCAGCAAACAACAGTTCATCATCCACAAATAGAAAAAAACTCCATGAGCACATCATGCAGGAGGGCACAAAAACCCAAAACAACATTCAACAGCATGAGACTGTGCGCCGTGATATTCATGGGAGAATTTCAAGAAGAAACCACTGCAAACTGCAGGCATTGTTGGTGTGAAAGCCTCTGGATTCTTTGCTGCTTTAGGACCCGGATGACTTGCAGTAATTGATGGAACCATGAATTCTGCCCTGTTAACAGAATGAAAATGTCCAGCCAAGAGTTTGTGAGCTCAGGTGGAGCAACGATCACAAGACAATGAACCAAAATACACCAAGAAGAAGAGATGCTTTGGTCTGACTTTAAACAGGCTTTTCATGCTCAGAAACCAAATAAAGATGCAAAGAAGGCTGGGCCAATCTTTGCGTGATACAAAAGACATGCTGTAAATGCTTGATTGCAGTTCTTGCTGCTGTGGGTGGAACAACAGTTATTAGATTTAAGGGAAAATGACTTTTCCACATAGGACCAGACCTGGATTACTTCATGATCTTAAAGGAAACATCATTTAAAAACTGCATTTTGCATTTATGTTGTTTATCACTGGTTAAAATTAACATTTTATCGATAAAACATAAATAAAACAAATAATATTCAAAAACCAAAAAATCATGAAGGGGCAAATATTTTTGGCAGCACAGTATATGCCCTCGTTTTTTCTTAGATGGGACAAAATAACTCATGTGATTTGTTGTAGTTTGTAGTTTGTGGAGTTTAATTATACTGCAGGATGAGCACAGGCTTATTTATTAATTTCATGTAATAAAATCAGTGAGATTTGGCAAGTGCAGGAACCTAATTTGTGTCGTGAAACTAAAACGATTAATAAATATTAATGATTGCTCAGTTTTGTCATGGTTCGGGGTCCTTTTGAAGCGTTTTGAGTCCCTTGTGTTTCTGTTGTGTTATGGTCCATTATTCTTAGTGGTATCCTGAGTTTATTCTGTGTTAACCTTTGTACATTTAGGCTCCCTCGCGTTCCCTCGCGTCTGCCTCTCCTGCATCATGTGTCCTTTTTTATTGTGAAGGTCCCGTGTTTTCATGTTCACTCTGTTCAGTCTGGCTTCCCCTGTCTTGTTATGATTATTCGTGTCAGCCCCTTGTGCTCCCACGTCCCTCGTTATCTGTGTATTTATGTCAGCGTCTCCCTCAGTCACGTGTTGCTCCGTGTCCCTCGTGGCTCTCCGTGTTTCCTGGACCGTATTATTGTTAGAATTTCCCGGTTTAGTTTTGTATTGGTTTGCATTCAGCAATAAAGCTGTGTTACTTTGCGTTCACGTTTTCTTCTGTGAGTTAGTGTTTGGGTCCTATTCCTGCCTGCACACAGCCGGTTTGTGACCAGTTTAAACCCAGAACTTAAGGCAGTGCACTTCTCTGCTTTTACTGACCACTTTAGCTGTTTGGTCATGTTTGCCTAATCGCGTGTGCTGTACTGGTTTTGAGACATGTCACCGTGTCTAATGCTGCTTTCTGACTGTGTTTGTGCAGGAACCTGAGGGTGAGCCTCAGCCTCTCACAGAGGTGGATCTTTTCATCTCTACCCAGAGAATAAAAGTGCTCAACGCTGACTCTCAGGTACCCACTCACACTGCAGGCACACGTTTCCCTTTCATCTATATTACCGTTTAATTTTTTGCATATTCTGCAGTTTGTGTAGTGTTGTGGTAACATCTGTGTTAACATCAGATTAATGGTCCATATGTTAGATCATTGGTAATAATGTTCTCTGAACAGATGAATCAAAGATGTGGTTGTTTTGCAACAGTTGACATGTTTGGCGCCTCATATTACTGTGATGCATAACAGTGGACAAAGCAAGAAGCTCATGTATATCGTTTATCTATCATTTTTATATGGTTTGCAAACGTTACCTCACTTTCCTACACCCACTGTTTATGGGGTTTAAATGCAATAACATATATTGTTAGATTCTAAAGTACTTACAACAAATGCAGAAAATCTGCGTCTTGTACACATGAGGAGGGCTGTAAATGTTTCTATGCCTTTAAGGAAACTATGATGGACCACCCTTTGCGGACTATCTCCTACATTGCTGACATTGGCAACATAGTGGTTCTGATGGCCCGGCGCAGGATGCCTCGCACTGATTCTGAGGAGAACGTGGAAACCTCAGAGCCAAGTCAAGACAGCAAGCGCCAGTATAAGATGATCTGCCATGTGTTTGAGTCTGAGGATGTGAGTCCAACAACATACTTCTGTCTTTGAAAACTTTTTTTCCAATATCTTCTAACTCTGCCATGTCCTCTAGGCCCAGTTAATTGCCCAGTCGATTGGACAGGCCTTTAGTGTGGCCTATCAAGAATTCTTACGGGCCAATGGCATTAACCCTGAGGACCTCAGCCAAAAGGAATACAGTGACCTGCTGAACACTCAGGACATGTACAATGATGACCTCGTGCACTTCTCCAAATCTGAGAACTGCAAAAATGTGAGAGGGCTGCATGTATTTTCAAACATTTCTGGTTTCATAACAGTATTTTTTATTCTGCTTTCCATCCGCAGGTTGGCATAATCACGTCTGTACTGCTGAATATGTAGTAGAGATTAGAATGACAAATTAATATGGCATCCTTTTTTCATGATAGTTCAGACAAATGAATTCCAATGAAACGTAATTTAAAATGATTTGTTTTTGTTTCTCTCTGCCTGTCGACTGCCTGCTGTGACCACAGGTGTTTGTAGAGAAAGCTAAGGGGGAGATTCTGGGCGTGGTCATCGTGGAGAGTGGATGGGGCTCCATCCTACCTACAGTCATTATTGCCAACATGATGCATGCTGGGCCAGCTGAGAGGTCTGGCAGACTGAACATAGGAGACCAGATCATGTCAATCAATGGAACCAGTTTGGTGGGACTGCCACTGTCCACCTGCCAAAGCATTATAAAGGTATGTATGGTATGTGCACCCATTGGTGGAGGCTCATTTCCAGCTCTCCAATCTCATTTGGCTTCATGCTCAGCACTCTGTGCACCATTCAGTCTCTCCATCTCCACACTTCCTCCACTCATGTGTAATTCCATGAGATACAACAACCCATCCCCTACCTGAGCGTGTTCTCCACCCACTGCTTGCTAAGAATCTTTGCCTCAAAAACAGAGGTGTTAATTCCCATCTCCCTGCACTGAATTTGGCTGCAGATAAGCTGAAGGTCACCAAATGATAAGACCAGCAGGACCACATCATTTGCAAAGAAAAGTAAGATCCTGAAGCCACAGAAACAGAAATCTCCTCATTCTTGGCTGCTCTCTATTATATTCTCCATTAAAATTATGAACAGAATTGGCGACAAAATACAACCTTGGCATTCACAGGGAAAGAGTCTGACTCTAGCAAAGCAACCATGCTGATGTTACAGCTGTACAGGGACCAAATAGTCTGAAGCAACAGGATTTATAAACTATGCTCCCAAACTAACCACAGAACATTCCAGCAACATGATTATGAGTCTGCACCAAGACCACAGAGCACGTACAGACCAGTTGTGCAAGTGTCCCAGGACTAGACAGAAGTTGCTCCTTCTGAACTGAGTTTTGACAAAGGGACACATTCTCCCCTATGAAGGGCATAGGCCTTCATAGGAAGACTGAGTATGATCTGCTGAAGTTAGAGCAAGCATTTCATATCTAAGAGAGACCATCTCCACATCTGCCAGTCCAGAGGAACTACCCCCAATTTGGGGCAGAGGTGTATCCAGTACAACTTCACAGCATTCAGAGCTTTCCTGGAACTTAGGGGTCTAATACCTGGCGACACATAAAAGCTGCAATGACGTCTGTTGAAGCAGCTTATCTTTACAAATGTTGGGATTTATCTTGTGCTTGAAGATGCTCTTTGGATTCAAAGTTCTCTCCCGGTTTCATTGGTCAGATGAACTTGTTGTGTTTCTTACCTGCTAATTACATTCACAGTAGTGAGTCACTGTGATGCTAGAGACTCGCTAGCTTAGCTTGTAGCCGACTTACTTGCAGCATTAGCCTCTTCAGCGGTCCCTTGACATTGTGTCAGATGTTTAGTTACTCCTCAGCCTCATTTAGTAATAACTATATTTGTAATGAATGTAACCTGTTTACAGTTCTAGAGGCAAGGATCACAGAATTGGAGAGTCAGCTTCACACCTATGAAAAACCTACAGCTAGCAAGGGCCCTGTAGTCGGTGCAGCTGAAGGTAGAGCATCAATACAACATTGGACTGAGCAGCTCTCGTTTCTATAAATCTGATCAAATTTATTAAAACGTGACTATCCACAGTTGGGACCAGGAGTTCGAGTCTTACACACCTCTTTGCAGCTTCTCTTGTTATGTCCATAAAACCCCATCCTCTGAGAGACCGTGTCAGCTCCCAGACGACCAAAAAACAAACCTAACATAAAAAATCACACAGAAGGAACTATATAGTATCTACCACCAGAGATGGGCAGTAACGCGTTACTGTAATCTGATTACTTTTTTCAGGCAACGAGTAAAGTCAGGGATTACTGTTGCAAAAACGGTAATTAGATTACCGTTACTTTCCCGTAGGAACGCTGCGTTACTGCGTTACTAAAACCGTGATTTTTTTGCGTGTGTCACGACAGTGACGTAAGCGAGTGCGACGTTGGTGACAACAGCTGTGTGCAGATCAACAGTGGATCACATATCGAGTGCAGAGAGAGCGTGCAGCGTTTAAAGCGTGGAAGTACTGACCTTACTTTGAGTTTGATTCCATAAAAAGTGACAAAAACATTAGTGTCCGCTGTGCGTGGGAAGAAAACTTCTTTTTACAGCGAAAAAAAACCCTAAACTTCCAACAAGCACCGAGTAGCTACGACGTAACGGGAAACTCACAGAGAAACTCGCGGATCCTTCCACTGACCGCGGCACACCTGCACCAGGGTAAACCTCCGCCTACCCCACTCCTGCTTTACAGGTGAAAATAGAGCAACAGGACCGCTGAGTCTTTGACTTTATTTATTTTCTGCTGTGTTTTACTTGCATCTATTTGAGAGAGTGAGTGTAAACACAAAAAAACATTATTTTATGTGCTGGAATGTGCAGAAAATAGGTTTAAATGTTAAACTAATTTCTTCCAGTCAGAGAATGTTGCATATAATTAAATTTTTGCTTGATGCATAAAGTGAAAAGATTAAAAATAATAAAACAAGTTTTAAAAAGAGACTTTTCCATTTGATTACATTTTGTATGATGGATTATGCAGAAAAAGTAGAACTGGGCTGAAAGATCTATCACTTTATCACCTCTTCAGGTTGTAAATCGTGTCCTGAAGGCATGTAGTAATAGCCCATTAATAGGCAGATAGACAGGATGAGTTTGAGCTGTCTTACAAGCCTTATTGTGCACATCTAATAATGTACAATATACACTATCATCGAAAAGTTTGGGCACACCTTCTCATTTAGTGATTTGTCTTTATTTTCATGACTATTTCCATTGTAGATTCTCATTGAAGGCATCGACACTATGAATGAACACATGTGGAATTATGTAGTAAACAAAAAAGTGTGAAATATCTCAAAACATGTTTGATATTTTAGATTCTTCTAAATATCCACCCTTTGCTTTGATTCCTGCTTTGCTCACTCTTGGCGTTCTCTCTCTGAGCTTCATGAGGTCGTCACCTGAAATGGTTTCCAACAGTCTTAAAGGAGTTCCCAGAGATGCTGAGCACTTGTTGGTCCTTTTGCCTTCACTCTGAGCTCCATCTCATCACAAACCATCTCCATTGGGTTTAGGTCAGGTGACTGTGGAGGCCAGATCATCTGGTCAGCACTCCATCACTCTCAAATAGGTCTTACACAGCCTGGAGGTGTGTTTGGACTCATTGTGCTGTTGAAAAATAAACTAAATGCAAACCTGATGGGATGACATGTTGCTGCAGCATGCTGTGGTAGGCATGCTGTTAACTTGTTATTTCTGAGGCTGACTTGAATGAATGTATCCTCCAGTGTCATGAAAAATACCGGTGGACTCAGAGAGCAGAACGCACAGAGGCACAGAGTTGAAACAATTTGTTTACAGTGAAGGGGATGAATTTTCAGGGTCACTGTATATACAATAAAATGTGAATGTGGAGCCGGGATGTGCAGGTGAGGAGACGCACACCGGTAGCGCACTCGATCTGAGTGGAACAGGAGAATTAGGAGGGTCTTGCCCGAAACTGAGAAAAGCATAAAAGAGACTTTACCGAGAGTTGGAGAGCTTACTTGGTACTGTTTGCCAAAAACCTCCAGAAGGGAAACAAACCAAACGAGGCGACCGGGAGAAACAGACAGACGAAAATCCTGGTGAGGAAACAAAACTCGGTACAGTCACCAGCGAAAATAATCCACAGGCTCCAGTAGGCAGGCTGGCAGATTTACAGGCACTCCAGAAAAGTCGATACTCCGACACTAGTCGTCTGTCGGGCAGCTCCTAAAGAACGCTTCAGAAGAAAGTGTCTGAAGGGTAACAGGTGTGCCAGGTTCTTTGAGACATGTGAGACAGTTTTAACGTAGCGCTTGATGGTTTTTGTGACTGCACTCAGGGACACATTCAAGGTTTTATCAATTTCCCAGACTGACTGACCTTCAGTTCTTAAAGTAATGATGGGCTGTTGTTTCTCTTTACTTAGCTGATTGGTTCTCGCCATAATATGAATTCTAACAGTTGTCAAATAGGGCTGTCAGCTGTGCACCAACCTGACTTCTATACAACACAACTGATGGTCCCAACCCCATTAAGAAGGCAATAAATTCACAAATGAACCTTGATAAGGGGGCTACTTTCAGAAATCTAAAATATAAGACATATTTAGAATTATTATTAATTATCTCTTTGCTACATAATTCCATATATCTTGCTTCAAATACTTGATGCCTTCAGTTTGTATCTACAATGTAGAAAGTAGTAAAAATAAAGAGAAAACATTAAAAAAAATGTATATACATATATATTAGGGGTGCAACGATACACAAAATTCACGGTTTGGTTCGGTTCGATACTTTGGTGTCACGGTTCGATATTTTTTCGATACAAAAAAAATGTTCATGCCTTTTTAATTTGTCATTTATTAAAATTATAAATATATATTTTAACTCAAAAGTACAGTTTTTAAATTTAACCCTAACCCTTGTGCGTGTTTTTTATTTTGACAGCGAATGCGTACCTGCGGACCACTAATGTGCAGCCCTGGTTATTTAGCTCGTCATATCGCAGCCACAGAAATTCTTTTGTCCATGAAACCATAAAGCTGCACTTTCTTTTTGCCTTATAGTCTGATTTGTCATAACTTCTCCGTTTTGTGGTAAGCTTTTCTTTGGCTGTCACTTCTTCACCCTGACCTGTCTTATTTGGCTCAGCAGAACTAAAATATATATCCTGCTACTTTTACACACGCACTCACATAAGCTCAGCGATTCTCTGCGCGATCAACCTCTCACATGTTTAAGCTTGCTGCGGGAGATTTCACTTGTCATGTTTGCATAGTAAGCTAACGATTGATAAGACAACGTCAGAGGAATTGGTGCACAAATTATCATCACTCACAGATCAGTGCTGTCGCTCTCTATACACAGTTCACGCGATTGCAAAGTGAAAGCAAAAAAACAAGCGCAAATTCAAACGCGATTTCAATATGTCACATATTGACAGTGGCTCACCGATGCCAGTGACATAATTACCCAGCTACATTTCTGAAAGAATGCAAAAGCATTGACATATGTTTTTCCTACAATAGCCCGACGGGCAGGGCAGAGATAGATTTTGGTAGCCTGACTGAAAAAATCGCTAGCTCCAGGACGTCGGGCTAGCGATATTGCGAGCCCTGTATCTGATTGAGGAATCACTCATCTTTGGAAAAGAGAGTTTATTACAGAGAAATGTCTCTTTCCAAAATAAAAGCTATACTATCCGCTTCTTCTGGGCTATATTCTCAGCAGCATAAGGAGAATCATGTGCTAACAGCTGTCTAAATGACTCGGCTAAAGTTAGTAGCATGCTTATTGTTTTTGTCTTTGCACTAGGATGATGTCGGCGTAAATGTGCAGTCATATTCGTTGTGTTCCCACTAGTGCTTTCAGGTTAATCTCGTTGAAATGACGTTAACGCCACAACACGGCGAATCTCTGTTAACGAGCTACCGCCGATCGCCCCGTGCATGGGGCTAGACGGCCAACACATTAACGAGCTAACTGCGCTAACACACTAGTTCCCACCCATGTAATTGAGCATTGCGTGGCACATCCAACATACTGTTTTACTTTAGTCCATGACTCGCTTACCTTCAGGGTCATACTTCACATGAAAACCAAAATAGTTCCAAACGCCAGATCTGAATGAGGGTGGGGGAGGTCCATGTTGTAAGGGGAGCTTAACTTCTGTCTCGCTAGCTTGCCCTGCGCTCTTCCTTCTGACGATGCTGTCTGTGTTGAGCGCTCAGTGAATCTGCGTTCGACTACTCCGCCTAGGCTGCACTGTCGAGCCTAGGCGGAGTAGTCGAACGCAGATTCACTGAGCGCTCAACACAGACAGCATCGTCAGAAGGAAAGTTGATAAAATAAATTACAAATTTTGTATTGTTCGATACATATGCGTACCGAACCGAAAGCACTGTATCGAACGGTTCAATATCGATACGAATATCGTTGCACCCCTAATATATATAATATATATATATATATATATATATATATTAGTGTGTGTATATGTAAAACTACCAGTGCAGGACTCTGTGTTGTGTGATCGAACACAAGCGTTCAATTTGTGGCTTGGACCGCACCATTTACACACTGGGGCATAAACCACTCCGAGTCTGCTGCTGGGCCTTGCAAAGCAAACACAGTAAACACTGAGCCAAGATGGTGCCTGGACGAATGAGAAGCTTGAACTACGGTGTCCTGTATGGGACAAATGCTCGAAATCGCTGCCTTTTTCCCATTATTTAAGCTGCCCTGCAGTGACCACTGCATAGGAGAGAGCGCTTGCTACCACATATATGTGTGTGTGTGTGTGTGTGTGTGTGTGTGTGTGGTGTGTGTGTGTGTGGTGTGTGTGTGTGTGTGTGTGTGCATATTATGTATAATATGTATACATACATTATTTGCTGCTGAATTTAATTCATCCCAATACTTGCTCTTTCCTGCTTCTCTTTCCTGTAGGGTCTGAAGAACCAGTCTCATATCAAGCTGAATATTGTGAGATGTCCCCCAGTGACTACTGTACTCATCAGACGGCCAGACCTGCGCTACCAGCTGGGTTTCAGTGTCCAGAATGGCATTGTGAGTAGTGTCTGCTCTGTTACATGATAACTGCAATTTTGTTACATTTCTTGAGTGATTTTATTTGTTATTTTTAAAGAAAAAGTGACATCTCTTCAACAGATTTGCAGCCTAATGCGTGGGGGCATTGCCGAACGGGGCGGGGTCAGAGTTGGTCACCGCATCATCGAGATCAACAGCCAGAGTGTGGTGGCCACGCCCCATGAAAAAATTGTCCACATCCTGTCCAGTGCTGTGGGAGAGGTAAGACATTGCATCACATTATACATAACAAGGAAATCAGGATCTTTCGATGCACAACAGTTAAAAGTGAAACACTGCAGTCTATTGTGCCTAAGGCCTTTCTGGGTGGTGCATTTGTGGGTTTCCTCTGGGTACTATGGTAAATGGACTGATTCTTATATAGCGCTTTTCTACTCTCCTGGAGTACTCAAAGCTCTCTATATAACATGCCTCATTCACCCAATCTACACTCAGTGCTTTCTAAGTACACTCATACTCCAATGGATGCATCGGAGAGCAAGTTGGGGTTAGTGTCTTGCCCAAGAATACTTGGCATGCAGACTGCCAGGGATCGAACCACCAACCTTCCGATCAGTTGGTGACCTGCTCTGCCTCCTACAGCCACCCTATAGGTACTCCGGCTTCCTTCCTGGTCCAACGACATGCATGTAAAGTTAACTGGTTATTCTAAATCGATCATAGGTATGAATCCAAGGTGCACACAGCACTTACATCTATAGGATAGAGTACTTTATCAGTATGTGGGAAAAAGCTTTATATACACTGATCAGGCATAACATTATGACAACCTGCCTAATATTATTTTAGTCCCCCTGTTGCTACCAAAACAGCTCTCACCCATTGAGCCATGGAGTATCTGGCACCAAGATGTTATACACCACTCTGCATTGAATAATAACTTATTATTAATCTCTGGCTCTCTGCCACAGCATGTCTTTAATCCTGACTTCCTTCGCTCACCACAACCGGTCATGGCAGACTCTTCCTGTTAAAAGGGAGTTTTTCCTTCCCACTGTCACCACAGTGCTTGCTCACAGGGGGTCATATGATTGTTGGGTTTTTCTCTGTTATTTTAGGGTCTACCTTACAACATAAAGCACCCCAACTGTTGTTGTAATTCAGCACTGTATAAATAAATAAAATTGAATAAAACTGAAGTGAATAGATTCTTTAAGTCCTTTAAGCTGCTAGGTGGGTGCCTCCATGCATCAGACTGGATTGCCCAGCACCTCCCAAAGATGCTTGATTGGGGTCAAATGTGGGGAATTTGGAAGCCAGTGAACACCTCAGACTCACTGTTGTGCTCATTCCTGAACCAGTTTTGCTTTGTCTCAGGGCACATTGTCCTGTTGAAAGAGGGCACAGGCATGAGGGGATACCATTGAAGGGTATTCCCTTTCCATGATCTACAGTGGCTTGCAAAAGTATTCGGCCCCCTTGAACTTTTTTTTTTTTTGTCACATTACAGCCACAAACATGAATCAATGTTATTGGACTTCCACGTGAAAGACCAACACAAAGTGGTGCACACGTGAGAAGTGGAAGGAAAATCATACATGATTCCAAACATTTGTTACAAATCAATAACTGCAAAGTGGGGTGTGCGTAATTATTCAGCCCCTTTGGTCTGAGTGCAGTCAGTTGCCCATAGACGTTGCCTGATGAGTGCTAATGACTAAATAGAGTGCACCTGTGTGTAATCTAATGTCAGTACAAATACAGCTGCTCTGTGACGGCCTCAGAGGTTGTCTAAGAGAATATTGGGAGCAACAACACCATGAAGTCCAAAGAATTCAATTCAATTCAATTTTATTTATATAGCGCCAAATCACAACAAAAGTCGCCTCAAGGCGCTTCATAGATACAGAGAAAAACCCAACAATCATATGACCTCCTATGAGCAAGCACTTTGGCGACAGTGGGAAGGAAAAACTCCCTTTTAACAGGAAGAAACCTCCGGCAGAACCAGGCTCAGGGAGGGGCGGGGCCATCTGCTGCGACCGGTTGGGGTGAGAGAAGGAAGACAGGATAAAGACATGCTGTGGAAGAGAGACAGAGGTTAATAACAGATATGATTCAATGCAGAGAGGTCTGTTAATACATAGTGAGTGAGAAAGGTGACTGGAAAGGAAAAACTCAATGCATCATGGGAATCCCCCGGCAGCCTACGTCTATTGCAGCATAACTAAGGGAGGATTCAGGGTCACCTGGTCCAGCCCTAACTATATGCTTTAGCAAAAAGGAAAGTTTGAAGCCTAATCTTAAAAGTAGAGATAGTGTCTGTCTCCTGAATCCAAACTGGAAGCTGGTTCCACAGAAGAGGGGCCTGAAAACTGAAGGCTCTGCCTGTCTAGAGATGCTTTTTGAGTAAAGGTTTAACTACAGCCAGCTTGAAGGCCTGTGGTACATAGCTGATCATTAGAGATAGGTTGATCATATTTAAGATCGAAGAATTAATTAATGGCAGGACTTCTTTGAGCAGTTTTGTAGGAATGGGGTCTAAAAGACACGTTGATGGTTTGGAGGAAGTAATTATTGAAGCTAACTCAGAAAGATCAATTAGAGAAAAAGAGTCTAACTTAACATCAATGGTACTAAGAGTAGCTGTAGATAATATTACATCTGTGGGATGATTATTGGTAATTTTTTCTCTAATGATAAAAATTTTATTTGTGAAGAAGTTCATGAAGTCATTACTAGTTAACGTTAAAGGGATGGTTGGCTCAAAAGAGCTCTGACTCTTTGTCAGCCTGGCTACAGTGCTGAAGAGAAACCTGGGGTTGTTCTTATTTTCTTCAATCAGTGATGAATAGTAAGATGTTCTGGCTTTGCGGAGGGCTTTCTTATAAGGCAGCAAACTATTTCTCCAGGCTAAATGATGATCCTCTAGATTTGTGACACGCCATTTCCTCTCCAGATTACGAGTCATCTGCTTTAGGCTACGTGTTTGAGAATTATACCACGGAGTCAGGTACTTCTGATTAGAGACCTTAGTTTTCACTGGAGCTACAGTATCCAGAGTCGTACGTAGTGAGGAGGTGAAATTATTAACAAGATAATCGACCTCTGTTGGGGTAGCGTTCAGATAGCTGCTCTGCTCTGTGTTGGTACAGGGCATTGAAGATGATAACAGTGGGTGGATTATATTCTTAAACTTAGTTACAGCACTTTCAGAAAGACATCTACTGTGATAAAGTCTACTCTCCACCGCTGTGTAATCAATTATTGTAAATGTAAATGTTATCAGGAAATGATCAGACAGCAGAGGGTTTTCAGGAAACACTGTTAAATGTTCAGTTTCTATGCCATATGTTAAAACAAGATCTAGAGTGTGATTAAAGTGGTGGGTGGGTTCTTTTACATTTTGAGAGAAGCCAATTGAGTCTAATAACAGATTAAATGCCATGTTGAGGCTGTCATTTTTAGCATCTACCTGGATGTTAAAATCACCCACAATAATTATTTTATCTGAGCTCAGAACTAAATTAGATATAAAGTCTGAGAAATCAGACAGAAACTCTGTGTAAGGCCCAGGTGGACGATAGATGATAACAAGTAAGACTGGTTTCTGAGTTTTACAGCTGGGGTGGACAAGGTTAAGCATCAGGCTTTCAAATGAATTAAAAGTCTGTCTTGGTCTTTCATTAATTAATAGGCTGGTGTGAAAAATTGCTGCCACACCTGCCCCTCGGCCTGTGCTTCGAGATTTCTGGTAGTTAGAATGACTCGGGGTGTTGATTCATTTAAACTAACATAATCATCCTGCTGCAACCAGGTTTCTGTAAGGCAGAGTAAATCAATTTGTTGATCAATTATTAAGTCATGTACTAACAGAGACTTGGAGGAGAGAGACCTAATATTTAATAATCCACATTTCACTGTTTTACTCTTTGGTTCAGATGTGGATACTTTATTGTTCTTTCTTTGTAATTGTTTATGTTTAAGTTGTTTGTTGCTGGTTTTTAGTTTGTTTTTTGTCTGTTTGGAAGCTGACACAGTCTCTATGGAGATGGGTTTTTGGGGGGTAGCAGGAGGAGAGAAGCTGCAGAGAGGCGTGTAAGACTGCAACTCTGCTTCCTGGTCCCAACTCTGGATAGTCATATTATGGGGGGTTTAATAAATTTGTCCATATTTCTAGAAATGAGAGCTGCTCCATCCAAAGTGGGATGGATGCCGTCTCTCCTAACAAGACCAGGTTTCCTCCAGAAGGTTTGCTAATTATCTATGAAGCCCACATCGTTTCTGGGACACCACTCAGACAGCCAGCAATTTAAGGAGAACATGCGGCTAAACATGTCACTCCTGGTCTGATTGGGGAGGGGGCCAGAGAAAACTACAGAGTCCAACATTGTTTTGGCAAAGTTGCACACCGATTCAATATTGATTTTAGTGACCTCTGATTGGCGTAACCGGGTGTCATTACTGCCGACGTGAATTATGATTTTACTGAATTTACGTTTACCCTTAGCCAGCAGTCTTAAATTTCCTTCAATGTCACCTGCTCTGGCCCCTGGAAGACAATTGACTATGGTTGCCGGTGTCTCTAGCTTCACATGTCTGAGAACAGAATCGCCAATTACCAGAGTTTGACCCCCGGCGGGTGTGTCGCCGAGTGGGGAAAAACGGTTAGACACATGAACGGGTTGGTGGTGTACCTGGGGCTTCTGTTTAGGACTATGCTTCCTCCTCACCGTGACCCAGCCGCCCTCTTTCCCCAGCTGCTTGGGATCTGCCGGGGAACAGCTAGCGGGGCCTACGCTATCTTCGGCTGCACCAGCTACAGGGGCCTGGCTAGCTACGGGTGAATGAAGGGTGCGAAGCCGAGTCTACAATTCAGTAATCCTGGCCTCCAGCGCTGCAAATATGCTACATTTGTTAGAGATATCATTACTGCTAAAGGAGGCCGAGGAGTAACTAAACATCTGACACAATGAGCAAGAAAGTGCAGGAGGGACAGGTGAAGTAGCCATGGTGCTAACGAGTCGGCTACGAGCTAAGCTAAGCTAGCGAAACAGTACAGAGACAGTGAGTGAATACTTTGGCTATAAATTAGGTAGTGAGTACTCAGAAAGTGTGCTTCGGATGAAGCACGTGAAGATTATACTATGAAAGAAGAATGTATTTAAAAGTTTTTAATTAAATTGCTAAGCAGATAAGCTACTCAGAAACACCACTGTGTTTGAGCAGGAACAGGAAGTGATACTCTACCACAGAGCGAGCGAACACCAAGTGACAGCGCCAACAACTCATTGCTTCACCTGAACACAGCAGACAGGTCAGGGATAAAGTTATTGAGACATTTAAAGCAGGCTTAGGCTACAAAAAGATTTCCCAAGCCTTGAACATCCCATGGAGCACTGTTCAAGCCATCATTCAGAAAGGGAAGGAGTATGGCACAACTGTAAACCTACCAAGACAAGGCCGTCCACCTAAACAGACCTGGCATCTTTCCTGTTTCTTTACACCTGTATCCACTGGATCCACTGCACACTTGACCTTTTCAATGACAGCTGCTGCTGCTGGAGATCGAGCTGGTCTGACTCGCCTCTGGGTCTTGGGAGTGACAAGACTTTTGCCCAGTTCTTCCAGGAAAAGCCGACGTCGGTACAATACGCTGGCATTCCAGTGTTGGTTGATTTCACTCCACAGGACATAGGCATTGTAAGCTGACACATCCAAAATGTTGTAGAAAATTACCAAGGGCCAACGAGCTGTGTTGCACTGGCAGCTGTATGTTGCTGTGACTTTGTCAAGATTGTCTACTCCTCCTTTGGAGCGAGTTGTAGTCTTTGTCTTGAAAGATCCTCTGTCTCTGAAACACCTTCTTCTTCATCACTATCCCAGTTCAAAAGCAGTGATAAAGCTTCTTCAGTCGTCATCCTTCAGGAGCTCATTTTAGGTGTGTTGAAATGACACGAGAACAGTGACAAGAACAGGGGAGAGAAAGTTTCTCACATACACACCTGGGTCTGATGTATATTCAGAGGCAGTCAAAACAAAGTACATCAAAGACAAATGTTTATTTTGGATCTGAACAGCTTTTTACTTGCATAAAAGTGTGCGGGTCAAAATGACCTGCAACATCATCTTTGTATACAAACACTGCAAAGACATCCCAGGACCAAAGTGTCCATATTTTACACACCAGTTCATGACCCCAGATAAGGAAAAGTCATAAACCTTCAGTACTTTGGTCAACACAAAAACTGGAATGGGTCAAATTGGGTCAAACCCTAACCTTATCCGTAACCTTAACAAGCACTTTAATGACTTCAAATAGTGTTTTCCAAAGTGATTGAAGTAAAATGAATGAACGTGTAGATTCCAAATGGTTCTCATGTTTCCTCATTTTTCTGATCTCGTCATTTAGGGATGTGTCGGGTGCCTGGAAGCGTAATATGTTGACGATTTGTCACCTAGCATAAAATATTACGCTTTTGGAGTGAGAACGTGTTGCAGGATTCAGGATTCCAACAATGGCGGCAGCTCCTTAGTTTTAATATTACTCTTATTAAACTTTTAACATATTTTGAGAATGTAGCTGTGTAAACTTCAAATATCTGCTCGGTTTATTAAGATATCACATATTTGCCAAAGTCCTGCAACGTTTTCGGAGACGTTGTTACCCACCAGCTCGATAGCTGACCAGGAGGTCAAGGGTCACTAGAGCTGGCAAAAGCAGCAAACTTCCAGCACATCGTTTTCTGATTAACTGATTAAACAGAAGTGTGAGATGGTCGAGAATTTACGCCAGTGTCCTGTTATTAAACTCCTCCGAGACAGCGGTGACGCAAATCTGAAGGCTAGACCGTCCAATTTCACAGCCTCGCACTTCCGGCCTTCGAAGGACGCGGCCCACATAGACCGCGAAGGCCGGTCCTCCAAAGGATGCGGTTTTGGGACACAGCTGCTCTTTTTTTGCTTTGTATCTGTAACCAGACCTTAACGGGAAAAAACTAACTTGTGTAAATATTTTTTTACAAACACAAATTCTCATCAATCGATGCACAAACATCAAAAATTCAGATATTTTGGTTTTCAAGGTTACAAAACTTCACAACTAAGCATTTGATTTAAAAGTACAAAATATTTATGAGAGCAATTTGAGCCCACAACGCTGCTCCTAGATACGGTTCTATTGCAGGTCTGTTTTTAGTTACAGATGTAAGTGAACGCTACAGAGTGATGCATTAGATGCATTCGAATAGAATAGAATTCAACTTTATTGTCATTGCACATGTCACACTTGTGACATGTACTTACAAGGCAACAAAATGCAGTTTGCATCGATCCAGAAGTGCTTTAGCCATGATATAGATATATTACAATATATATTAGCAATAATATAGATATGTAAGTATATTACAGAAATGGGTCTATTACGGTATGTTATAATGTACACGGTATGAAGTATGTTATGAATATGCTATAACTATAAGTATGTACAGGCTATGAACAGGATATAAACATGAAAACTATACAGAAATATGAAATATGCAAGTTATAAACAGTTGTAGAATTATAATTATCGTGTTGTACAGTATGATTGTCTATACAGCATTTACAGTAGTGCAGTTAAGATCAGTGAGATATGTGGATAATTTCTACAGAGGTATATAAAGTGCTGGTGGTTGTGAGTGATGGTTCAGTCCATGTTATTATTGTGTGTTTGAGGGTACAGTTGTCCATTGTGGGTGTGTGTATGTCCAGTCCATGTGTTAACGTGGGTCAGATGTCAGGAGGCAGAGTTCAGGAGTCTGACAGCTGTGGGGAAGAAGCTGTTCTGGTACCTGGTGGTCTTAGTCCGGAGGCTCCTGTAGCGCCTCCCAGAGGGCAGGAGGGTGAAGAGTCCATGTGATGGGTGACTGGGGTCTTTGATGATTTTCCCAGCCCTTTTCAGACACCGCTTCCTGTAGATGTCTTTTATGGCAGGAAGTGGTGCTCCGGCGATGCGCTGGGCAGTTTTCACGACCCTCTGCAACGCCTTCCGGTCCGAGGCAGAGCAGTTCCCGTACCAGACTGTTATACAGTTGGTCAGGATGCTCTCGATGGTGCAACGATAGAAGTCACCAGGATGTCTGAGGACAGGTGGTTCTTCCTCAGAGTCCTCAAGAAGAAGAGGCGCTGGTGAGCCTTCTTGACCAGCTTGGAGCAGTTGGTCGTCCAGGTGAGATCCTCGGAGATGTGGACTCCCAGGAACTTGAAGCTGCTCACACGCTCCACAGCCGTCCCCTTAATGTGGATGGGTGGATGTGGGTCAGCATTCCTCCTGTAGTCCACGATGAGCTCCTTGGTCTTCTCGGTGTTAAGCAGCAGGTTGTTTCTGTCGCACCACTCAGCCAGACGATCCACCTCCTCCCTGTAGGCGGCCTCATCGTTGTCACTGATGAGGCCAATCACCGTGGTGTCATCTGCAAACTTAATGATGGTGTTGGAACCATCAGCAGGTCTGCAGTCGTGGGTGAAGAGGGAGTAGAGGAAAGGGCTCATCACACAGCCTTGTGGTACACCGGTGTTCATCGTGATGGTAGATGAACAGCGGTTATCCAGCCGGACATGTTGGGGGCGGTTGGTCAGGAAGTCCAGTAACCATTTGCAGATGAGGGAGCTGATGCCCAGGTCTGTCAGTTTCCTGATGAGTTGTGAGGGGTGGATTGTATTTAACGCTGAACTGAAGTCTATAAACAGCATTCTGGTGTAGGTGTTGTTGTTGACCAACTTATGGTGGTTTATGAGGTTGTTAATGAGGCCCATGTTGCTCTGATAGCAGCCTTCAGCTGGTCTGTATCGTTGGGTCAGGTGTTTCTCCTATTCCTTTTACTCCAAGACCCCATGTGGTCACGGTCAACAACAGTGCCATTTGACAGTAGCTTTAGGACACTGTGGGTGGGACTTTCATGTGCCTTTTTTACAACCTTGACTTCCAATTAAAATCCAAAATTTAATTTTATCTGAAAAGAGGACTTTGGACAATTGAACAACAGTCTTTGTGGGGTGGCTGTAGCTCAGGTGGTGGAGCAGGTCAGCTGCTAACTGGAAGGTTCGATCCCAGGCTCCACCAGCCAAATATCCTTGGGCAAGATATTAACCCCATGTTGCTCTCCGATGCATCCATCAGAATGTGAATGCGTATGAATGTTAGACAGTGAGCACTTAACAGTGTAGAATAAGTGCCTGTGTGAATGGGAAGTAATTGGGTGAATGAATTAGTTGTATAAAGCGCTTTGCTCAGAGTAGAAATGTGCTATATAAGAACCAGTCCATTTACCACTCCGTAGTCTGATGTTTGTGGTCCACGAGTGGCTTGATGTCAGGATGTAGCCCTTTTATTACTTCTGCACGGTTCTTGACAATCGTTTCAGGGCTTCAGGCATCTCTGATTCTTGGGCACCCTTTCCTACCCGAATTTCTATTACATACCATTATACCATTAGATATGTAATGATATAAATAAGAACCTTTATATCAGAATTCCATGATGATTACTTTGTTCTGTTCTGTCTGCTTTAGATTCATATGAAGACCATGCCTGCTGCTATGTATCGCCTGCTGACCGCCCAGGAGCAGCCTGTTTACATTTAACCCACAAACTGACCTCACAGATCAACTCCCTCAGCCCAGCCCGGACCTCATCCTGTATAGCTGATGAATTGTAGTGAGTTGTTAAGATTGTTCTGTTGCTCAAACTCATCTAGCTGCAACACAAAAACCAATATTATCCATGTGTATGTAGGCTTTTATTATTACAATAAAAAGATGTTCACACCAGATACATTTTCAGTACCTAGTCGTGCCCCAGAGTCTGCAGAGTTTCTTCATGGTTTACTGTTGATATTTTGAAACACAATATATAGTAACGTGTATTGCCGCTTAGTTCATGAAACTAAATCAGTTTCCTCATTGTTAAATTAGAGGAATGATGTTTGTTTTGCACAGTAAAAATCTTATTTCCAATCTTACACATGAGTCACATCCAGACACAGTTGTGGGCAAAAGTTTACATACTTTCATGACATTGTGGGTCACTAGATGCTTTTGGTAGCCATCAACAAACCTCTGGTGAAATTCCAGCTGAATATTTGATCACTCTTCTTGCCACAATTAGTCAAGTTCATTTAAATTGGTTGCTTTTCTGGCATGGACCTATGCTAGGCCCAAACATGCTGAGGAAAGCTATTCCAGAAGTAGATGAAACATTACTTGATGTTGTCTGTCTTCATGCTCAATCATCCAGCTAAAGAAATCCCAAAAAGTCTGGCCGCAGAGTTTTCAGTGGGAGAAACGTTTCGTCATCATCAGGTGACTTCTTCAGTCTCAGCTGACTGCAGGTTTCCAACCTTAGAAACAGGACATTTGCACAGTGACTGACACCAGCAGCACTGAATGAACACTGGGCTGGGAGGTCAGCTTATGACCATTAGTATGCAAATTGCCATGACCGCTAATCAACAACCATTGATCAGTGGCCATGAGTACCATTCACAGAGTTGGGGAATGTCTGCCATCACAGCATTGTAAGATGGTGTGTAAATCTACAGTCCTTTGCGCTTTAGTGAGTTCCTTTAAATTTGTGAGTATTGATCAATCAATCTGAATACTATTAATCTATAATCAGCATAAGTTATTAAACATTATGTATAGAGAGTGAGAGAGCCTGCATGTACGTATACTTTTGACCCAGCATGGATGAGAGAAAATCCAAAACAAATTCAAACTTTTTCTCCTCATTCTTATTTTTTTTAAACTTTAAAGGCCCAAAATAAATGTAACGTTCATGCACATGATGGCTGTATGTAAACCTCTGAACATACCTGTATCTGCTACTAGTACCCCGAGTTTCACCACAGGGCACTGCCGATGTCTAGTTACATTTTCTACACCAAACCCATGTATGAAAAAAACCCTCGTTTATGTAGAATTAAGTTACGTAGGTTTCACTTTGTGGGCTCAGTCGTGTTTCGACTCTCAGCTCAGAATCACAGTATTTTGAGCAGATTATTCTTGTTTATTACCAAAATTTAATGGTAAATTAACTCATTCCTATATAGCACTTTTCTACTTTATCCCAGCACTCACAGCGCTTTATACAACTTGCCTCATTCATCCATTTGTACAAGCACTTCTTTCTGGGGTTGTGTTCGATCTAACAATCGCACACATTCATACTCGGTGGATTCCCCGGAGAGCAGCTCGGGGCTAGTATCTCGCCCAACGATATTCGGCAGACAGCCAGCGATTGAACCATGAACATTTCAATTAGTAGATGACCTGCACCACCTCCTGAGCTACAGCAACCCGAAATGATCCGCCATCACATTTTAAAATGAGGTAAATATAACCTCAGAGGAACAACAAACCATGACATGTTCCAACATCATTATTCACTTAATATAAATTCAGCCCAAACGCAGAAGCATGTGTGAAAAATTAACTACTGTTTCCTGTAGGAATTAAGTGGGTAAATACACCTATTTATCCTGCATGAGCATAATCAGTGATTATTGATTATCAGTAGATTTGATCACCTCTAGAAAAGGAAAAGTTTTAGCAGTTTGTGGATCTGGAGCACTCAGTTATCTAGTATCTTCACTGCCATGGAGAAAAGACATCAGCAGTTACCTAAAAAGCAATTATTGCCCACAAGGCTCATAAGAGCATTTCCAAACAGTTTCAAATCCATCATTCTACAGTGACAAAGACTTTTCACAAGTGGAAAACATTCATGGCAGTTTCCTGTCGTCTCGTCTCAGTGGATGTCTCAGCAAATTCATTCCAGCTCTTGCAATACTCAGAGCTACACTCAGACTCCACGTGCCTCAGTTAGCCACGTTAAATATAATACAGTAAGAAACAACACGGAACAAGTATGGCATCTTTGCATTTGTTTCCGAGAAAAAGAGCCTAAAAAGAATATACCAGCATGGCTTAGCTTTGCAAAACTGCATCTGAACTAACTCGTTGGCTTCTTGTGCAGCAACAAGACCTGGGCACCTTGCAATCATTGAGTAAACTCCTCGGTATACCAAAGTATTCTAGAGTAAAATGTGACAAAGCAAATGTGAAGGTGTTGCAATGGCCCAGTCCCACCTCAAGCTGGGTGAAATGCTGTAGTGGACCTTAAGAGAGCTGTTCATAACCGACAAAGCATGGAAGCAGCTGTGTGAAGGACAACGAGACACCTGAGTGACTGATGACAAAAGATTACTAACGTCTTTGGTTGCTTAGGCAAAGCTCTAGACTAACTCTTTTTGCCACGGTTGCAAGGCGCACCAGCACCAACGTTAGGCGCACCCAAATTTTTCAACCGCATCGCTTAACACCGCAGTTTTACATGTGCACTTTTTTTGGGGGGGGGGGGGGGAATTGCTGTCTATACAGACAACACTGATTTGTAAATGATTAACTAACAATCTTGTCAACACAACGTTACTGAAAAAGTGCTTGTGTTTAAAGAGCGTTGACGCTCTTCGGCAATATTGTAGACAATGTTAAACTTAATCATCACATCGGCTCCTCTGACGACCTGTTTGCTGCTGAAAGGCAGCGGGGGGAGGGGACACATTTATCGCAGCATATAATGTGTTTCTGGATACACTGCTGCTTTTTCAGCATTCAGGGGCTGATGGCTCCGTGTCAGAGCTGGCTATGAATTTCAGACGGATCAGGCCTTAACAAATAAGTTATCAATTGTTCTTTTCATCTTTCCTCATTACTGACAGCTACATCCGCTTCTGTCGGGCCTAGGCTGCTCACTGGGGCTGCGTATCGTCACTGATTTCTGTAATCCATTCGATTCGATTCAGTTTTGCCTCAAATAGTCAGAAATATTATAATTCTGATCATTTATCAGAACTGACACTGTGAGACTTCATCAGAGGTCTGAACATCACAGCAGATGCCTTTGTGTCAAAGTAACTGAGAATAAAACAGAAATCGAAGGAGATTTTCCTGACCTGGCTTTTTATAGCAGATAACCTTAAAAATATTCTGCAATTTTGCATAATTTTAAAAAGTATAAATTTCTTCAGTATTGAACAGCAGAAATGAGTCTTTCTTGTCCGAGGACATTTAATTAACAAAAAAGAAAAAGACAGCGCTGTAAACAACGGTAGACGGTGGGTAATAAGCCAATGAATGCAGAAAACAGATTTGAGACGGGAAACTGTTCCTGAAGTACAGAGAGAGAGCTGTGTGCTGGAAGCAAAACAGCAAAGGTCAGAGGGAATTAATGACGACATTTATCAAATGTGAAACATAGTTTGCTGCTTCTTTTGCTGCTGGTTCAGTGAATTTTGGTTGGAGAGAAATAAAACCTGCAGCATCAGAATCGAGCACAAAAAGACGTAAACACAGAGCAGACCCGACGCATCAGAGTCGGTGAGCTGCCGGCTTTCAGCCCCGACGGCCTGTCCGTGTTCGGGCCGTCAGGTGAGAAAGTCGAGAAAGAGAAAGCTGATTCTAATGCGTGGGGTCCACGCTGTGTTTACGTCTTTGTGTGGAGTCCGTTACCAGGGCCCTATTTCAGGAAGCCGGTTTAGTGCAAACTCTGAGTAAGTATACCCTGAGTTAACGAAAACTCTGGGTTTCCGGTTTCACAAAGCGAGTTTAGATTAATTCTGAGTGAGTTACTATGACAACACACTCCGTGAAGCTAACCTGCCCCCTAGCAGGTTTACTTCAACTAACCCTGACGTTCGCCGCCTCTTTGTCAGAAACCTGACAGTAGGAAGTGTCAGACATGGCGTGCTCCTTCCTTGAAGAGCCAGTAGATGTTGAAGCCCAAATTCTCCGCAGAGCTCTCCGCCGGGAGAGAGTGATCAGAGCGCGTTTGGACATTTTATCATTTCCTGATGATTTCCTGTGCGAACGTTACCGTTTTCCAGCACAATCTATAATTTATTTGAATAACATCCTCAGGCCTAATATTGCTCATGTGACACATCGCGGACATGCTCTCAGTTAATTACATATTATTTGTATCACACTTCGGTTTTTTGCAAACGGGAGCTTTCTGTATAAAATTGGTGACGCTGAGCACGTTTCCAAGGCTACCGTCTGTCGGGCAGTTGCACTGAAACGTCTCCTGCACTCGTCTGTGGTGTTCCCCGGTCATAGACCCACAAGATTTATCAAAGAGGGATTCCAAAAAATTGCAGGTATCAGGATGAACAAAACTTAATTCATGATGTGGTGATACTTGAACTACTACTTAAATTTTACATTTATTTTCAGGGTTCCCAGGCGTGATTGGCTGTACAGATGGCACTCACATTCCAATCATTGCTCCTTCAGTAAATGAAGGAGACTATGTGAACAGGAAGTCTTTCCACAGCATTAATGTACAGGTACATAGTTCCCTGTAGCATTTCAAACTAACAAATTATTTCATTATAGTAATGGATGCTAATTTGTGTTCTCTGCACTGTGAAGATCATATGTGATGCTGCCAACATTATCACAAATGTGGAAGCCAACTGCTCAGCCTCTGTGAGTGGTGGTGGTGGAGGACCCCCACCTGTTTTTCGGGCCTCCGCTTTTTTTCTGTTGGCTATAACGGGTCACATTTGAGCATACAGAGTAAGCAAATATGTACTTGTAATGTGCTCAGATAATTTCAATAAGTGCTTACAGAGGGGAAATTAATGTAGCCTCTAACTGCAATCGATTTACATCGGACAAACAGACCAAGCACTATGGCTCATAATACAATTACACCTTACCTGTTTGGACTATATTTTTATATTTCATTTTTACTTGCTGCCAGGCACGTTTGGGGCCTGTTGGGTTGCACCTGCGCTCACATCACATCACATCACATCACATCACGTCACAAAATAAAATAAAATATAATAAAATAACGTGTTAAATGGGTGGAAATCCCTCGATCAATGTTTAAATTAACACTCACGCATTGACTCTGTCGGCTATGTTTTGCCATGCATGCTCCCTTTCTTTGGCAGCTGAGGCTGTGTTACTTTTTTTTCTGCAAAATTTTCATGTTATCGGCATATGCTGCCATCAGAATTTCGGCCTCAAGCGCTGTAAGATACATTGACCGCGCCTTCTTTCCCTCCGTCTCCATGGTGACTCGCTTAATCTGTGCTCCACTAATCAGGGCTTTATGTATCCTCGTGTGCGCGTTTAACTTGGGGTTAAAGCAACTCCGCGTTGACTGAACTAATTGTTATCAGCCTTTCTGAAACCGAATATTCCGAGTTGGACAGTTCGGGGTTACTCAACCGTGAGTATCGTTTTTCACTCTGAGTTTTCTAAACCGGCTTCCTGAAATAGAGCCCTGCTCTCATTTACTGTTTGGTGGTTGTTGAAATAGTTTTGAGAGCTTTAACCTGAGATTCTGGCGTTTCGACATTTATATTTAAAAGTCGATTCAGGATTTAATGAATCGATATCGCTTTATTCAAACTACTCACCTCTCTATCTGCCTGCACTTTCAAATACACACAAAAGGACCACGGCCAATCACAGAGGTCCCGCCCCTGACTATCTCTGATTGGGACACACGATAGGGGCACGATGTGTGTCAGCTGATGACCACACGGAGACTCAGAGTTGTGGACACACTCTAGAGCGCTGCTTAGGTCGTTCTACAAGCTCGAGTATACTTAACTTTTTACACATTGCTTCTGCATTTTGATTTTTATTAAATAAATCAATTTAAATTAATATGAGGTTATGTTTCTTTATAGTGATGACAGTCAATCTATGTCAAGCTTTTTCCCTAAGATGGATTTTATGCAAATACATTGTATAAATTGCATCTGTATTAATTATCATGAGATAATGAATGCAGGTAATATCTGTGGGCAGATATTACCTTATGTCTTACCCTGTTACCCTTGAATACAGAAAGAAAAAAACAGTACCAGTTTCTGTTTCATTTTGGCTTTTATATCAAACAGTCAGCAATGTACAAAGACGTCTGTATAACGTAACCCACAAATGTGACGACTGTGGCTGTGTGTGAATGTACAAGCAGCAGCAGGATGTACAACTGTCTGTTTTTGGTTTGAGGGGCCTCTGCATTGCCTAAAGAATGTACACTATACCTTGCTTGTACAAAAACAATAAAGAAGCTCAAATATTCTACTATTCAAAATATAAATATGAATAAAGGATTCTAGCCTCTGCCGTTTTGTGATAAGTGAAATAAACAACACTTCTTGCAGCCTCTCTATACACCTGATTGATCACCATCCCAATCACAATGTTTCCATTAGATATCTCGGCTAAGGCTGACCAGTCTCCTGTTCCCAACGAGCTCCACCATGCTTCGGCTAAATCTGTCATGTGCAGACCCTTCAGCTGCTCACTAGGTTTGTCTTTAAAATGAACCAAATATATTTATGTATTTATTTATCATTTTGGAGCGCTGTCTTTTGCTACACTGCTCGGGGTCATCAACACAGCACATTGGCTGTGCTCTTCACTCCTTAGAGGAGCTCTACAGTAAAGCTGCAGGGACACATCACACCCATATATCACCTGTTCCTGCTGTTATCCTAAGAGAGGGGTTACGAGACAGTAAACAAACAAACAGCACATATACAAGGTTTGTTTTTATTATAGGCAATAAATGAAAACACCTCTCTGCCTTTAATTGTTAGTTATTATTAATCTCTGGCTCTCTTCCACAGCGTGTCTTTGTCCTGTCTTCCTCCCCTAACTCCAGCCAATCACAGCAGATGGCTCCGCCCCTCCTTTAGCCTGGGTCTGTTGGAGGTTTCTTCCTGTAAAAAGGGAGTTTTTCCTTCCCACTGTCGCCAAAGTGCTTGCTTATTGGGGGTCACTTGAGTGTTGGGTTTTTCTCTGCATGTATTATTCTAGGGTCGACCTTACAATATAAAGCTCTTTGAGGTGACTGTTGTTGTGATTTGGCGCTGTGTAAATAAATACATTGAATTGAACAGGGAACAGTACGCCTGCCTTCACAGACCTGTGAGGCAAGCTGTGCAGTCCCTAACCTGTACAATCAGCACACACGCACAGATGTGTCTATATTGCCAAACATATTAACTTACCCATACAAATCACTGATTTCAGGCGTTCCAATCATTCCATGCCCGTATGTATGTGACTGGATGTTCATATGTAATGGAATTTTCTATGTCACGTGGAAAATAAGACAAATGTAATGAAGTGGTTTTTCATGAAGTCATTTGTGCCTTAGTTAAAAGTGGGTAAGGTGAGAGTATAGGGTGTGGCTAGATATCAGGTGATTCTGTATAAATGATGATGATTGGATGTCCAGATAGGAGGTGAGAGAGAGGGAGGCAGATGTGCAAAAGAGTATAAAAGAGAAATATTCAGAATATTCTGGTTGTTTTTTTCTGTAGTTCTTTCAATGAGCTGAAGACATCATCTTAAGACATCTTGAGGGTCCACAGTTAAAAACTACAGCATGCAATGCCAGAGGAGCCCCCACCACCACCCGCCTTGGCCACCAGTGTGTCGGTGGCCAAGGCATGCTGGATGGACAGGAACTGGCAACTCAGGGGTAAGACGCTTGTCACTGCGGTTTGCACATGGCAGATATAGCAAGAGCCTGACACCACTGTGCTAGAAGGGTTTGCTGCTGCTTGCAGTGATAGAAGCGGAGAAACTGGCAGTTCGGTAGTAGGGACGCTAGATGCTGCATGCAAATAGGGGATGAAGGAAAACCTGGCAACCCGGTGCCTTTTAATTCATTTGTCTATGCCAGGGGTCGTCAACCCTAGGCACGCATGCCACAGCTGGCACGCGAAGGGTGAACTGATGGCACAACCATAGCTGGACTGGCCATCGGGCGTACGGGGCATTTGCTCGGTGGGCCGATGGTGATTTTTAGTTTTTATGGGCTGATGAATTATTATTATTTATTTATTTTTTGTAACGGTATAAGCAATGAAAGGTGTTTATACACTCACATGAGTCCTCAGGTATCCGTCTGAATGCTGGACACTGGGAGACCTGTGTCTCTGAGTGGGAGACCAGAGATCACATTAACATGTGTCTCTGTATTAACAAACATGCCATATTGGCCCAGTTTATTTTTCTTATCATTGTTGTGAGGAGACCATAAATAGCATTTGTATTTTCTGTTGTACAGTTCATTTGCTGTTATGGATAAAAAGTCTTTTTTTGTTTCAAAATAGCTGATAACTATTCGCTGACAGCTGCCAACATCTGCAAACACATAATCCTATAGGGTTGTTCTATATAGTGTGTAACTGTTCATGTAGAGCGTTATTACATTTATTGCTAATGCAATCATATGGCACACTGACTTCTGAGGAAATTTTAGATGCACTCGTCATCAGAAAGGTTGCCGACCCCTGATATAGATCATAATCAAACGTTAAAATATTACACAAAATGTCATCAAACATCATTCATGCTGCAGTTCTGCAGAAACCTCTGAAACAACAAGTGAAACATTCATGAACTTAGGCTACGTCCACACTGGCCCGGATAGATACGAAAACGGCATTTTCGTCTGAAAGCGCTCCGCGTCCACACTAGTGTTTTCAGTTGTTTTCACAGAGTTGTGCGTCCACATTGAAACGTCCAGAAAACACTTATGTTCCAGTCTTACGCATGCATGAAACGCAAGAAGATTCGACCGGCCTCATTTCTGTCTGCCGCTTATTTACTTTCCTGAGTTTTTTAAATGGACTCACAATGAGGTGGAGTTGTTGCTGCGAGTAACACAAAAGTACAAAGTTGCAAAAGCGAGTGAGAGTTAAAGAATTTGAAGAAAAGCTCTCTGGAGCAGACTGATATTAATCTTTAATAGGGCTGTCAGACAAAACAACTGCTGTATAATGCCCTCCGCTATCTTTGTTTAATTGGTCACATGACTGCATCACATGACTAACATGCGTCTCCGTTTTCACTGTCCACACTGCAACACGAAAGCACCGTCTTCAAATGTATTTGTTTTCGAGAGCGTTTTCCAAACGCTGCGTTTTCGGGGAAAACACCGTCTCAGTGTGGACGGGAGGCCAAAACGGAGAGAAAACGATGCGTTTAGAAACTCCAGATGCTTTTCAGATGACCTGGATGACTGAGACTCTACAAAGACATGTTCACAGACAGAAGTGACAGGTAAAACATTTAATTACTTTCATTGAAAAACTCACAGAATTGGATTCCAGTGGCCACACTGACCACAACTACTGAACTCTTACAAGACTTCAAGACGTCATATTCAGCTGAAGAATGAAGAATGCAACAGAAACAGCATTTCATACAGAACTTCATTATTTACTTTAACAGATGGTGTGTATGCTGCACAGACATTCAGATGCGAGTCACTGAGTCTGTGAATACTCCAAGCATTTAACAGGGTTTTAGGAATAGGGCAGGCCACACAGGTCAATGTTCTTATTAAAGATAATGGAAAACTCCTTAGAAAGCAGCTGGTGAAGGCTGATGCCGTCATGAGTATATACCCAGCGTTCACCTGTCCAGCCGTAGCGCTTGGGTCCACTGTAAGCACAAGAGAAGAAAGGAAGAGGGAAGTAACATTACTCTATACTGACTTATAACAGATTCTTATTATACCAGTTTGTCAACAGAGAAATATATATAAATTTTGTCTGGCTGAGGGGGGAACGCTGGCTGACTCTGGAGTTCGAGTAGCCGGAGGGAAAATCCTGGCGGTTTGAGGCCCCAGGCTTGTGTTGGGTACGGTCCATCACAAGAACATTGGCTCATGCGCGCTGTTGGGGAGACGCCGGCCCAGACCTGTGTTCGGTCCAAGTACGTCACAGGACAGCTGTTCGGGTACACTGTCGGAGTCCATTTCTGCGTACTACAGTGCGCAGAGTGGCGGTGTTCGTTCCTTGGTCCGTAGAAGGCAAGGAACCTCACGGGGGACGCCTCGTGTAGTAATGGGAAACTGGATCCAGTAGAGCGGCAGGCCTTCACCAGGCGGCCAGAGACAAAACTCAATACGTGACTGTATGGTAAGAACTGAGTAAATGTGTGGTGTGTAAGATGGCAGAGAATGGCTGTGTGAGTTGTGGAGAAAGGAAAAGAAATGTTGAACGAGTTGATAGGTTGATGTGTGCGTGTAAAAAGAGTGAAAAACAGGGTCAAATGTTGAAAATGGGGAACAAAAAACAAGGAAAACAAACAAACAAAAAAAGAGGAGTGTAGAAATGTGTGTGAAAGTTGTTTCCAACTAGCGGGAGAAGCTGGTACTGCAGGCCAACACACACACACACACACACACACACACACACACACACACACACACACACACACACACACTTAGTAGAATTGTTGATGAAAATAAGCAATAAAATTAGGGTTTTGTGTCTCAGTGCGTCACTTGCAGGTGAAGAGCAGACCCGGATCAATTTTCCACGTGCAGCAGTCGGAAGAACATTATAGGTTAACATCATTAGAAACACTCCAGCCAAGTTTTGGCTGAATTATTTTACAGCTTAACTTCCATGTGTTTGTCACCCTGAGAACACAAGCTCCAAAATCTCTCCCTGAAGACCAGAAATGCAGTTCCAGAACAACGAGATGGACCTCAAGAGCTCACAGCAGTGAAGAAAAGGTCCAGCAGCAGCAGCTGTGCCAGACAGCGGCAGCAAGGAGAAAAATGGCATCATCACGACTGGATGGATGGATGTGCATTTCCAACGAGCTGCACCTTCACTGTGTGTGAATGGACCTTTGAAAGACTGCCTGAGTTGGACATTTACCACTTTTGGAGCAAAATGGCAAAATGAGACAGTGGAAAACAGGACAAAGCTGAAAGACAACGGACTCTCACTGGACTGCTGCAAGGAGATGAGACCACAGTGGAAGGAGCAGGGAGGACATGGAGGAAGCTGTTTTAGTGTGGGAATGAAATTTGGGTTTATGAAACTGGGAAGAAAGAACGACTGCCTTACGTGGAGAATTGAAAAGTGTCTGGAGCACCGCAAAGAGGAGAGGTACACAAAAATTACACAAACAGAAAAAAGCATTAATCCTACTAACACAAACACACATGCAATGAAGCTCATGAAGATCAAACAGCATTTTAAGCGTTTCTGTTACCATCATCTTGTCCGGTTCACTTAGCAGGTTAAGAAGTGATACACAGACTAGTGAACTAGTATTATATTGGGCAAAAATGATTGAACCATTGCAGGGGTGAACAGAGTGCTGCAGGGGGTCAGATGAGTGGAGACTAATAGATTATTGAGGTTCTTGTTCCTGATGTGTGGGGGAGGTCTTATCATGATGCACATCTGGGTACATGGAAAAAACTCATCATCTAATAGGATATTGCTGTTGTGTGAGGTGTGACTGGTGGATGAAAGTTTTGGGGATTTATTGATGCATTTTCTTTTGGTACCACTTTGAACCTGCCAGTTTTGATCTATCATTCTAAGAGAGTACGCTTAGACAACTTCTAAAACTAGGCCTTCATATTGTTTTTGATTTTAACAGTGCACTGAGATTTTTTGTTTGGCAATTTTCTCTTTTTCAAGTAGGCCTGCAAGATCGGGATCGAAAGCTCTACACGACATGTTGATCAATCGCAAGTGAGCTTCTCCAAAATGAAAATGGGCTCAGGAGGAAGCCACTTATTTGGGACAATCAGAAAACAAGTCCCTGCCAAAAAGGACTCAGCGAGGTGATCCAGTCTAAATCTTCTTTCTTTTTTGAAATGGCGTCATTGCTGGCAGTAGAAACTTATTGCGTCACGAGAGGTTCTACTGTCAGCAAATAACAAATGGGGACTGACTGGACTGACAAAAGCTTGACTGAGTTGACACCAGTATGCAAGATTGCACCTCCACCTTGACCTGACCAAAGGGTGGATGTTTGTATGTTTCTTTTTACAGGAGCAGAAAGGTGACAGCAGCAGGTTGCATGCATTGTTTACAGTGCAGAGGTCACTGTGAGAAAGTGTGCATACAGATGCGCTGCGCTAACATCCACATCACTTTTTCCACAGCAGAGGGTTGATCGTGTGATTTACAGCAGGACACACTGCTGGCTAATGTCTTTTTTTCTTATGACAGGGTTACAGGCCTGGAGTGAAGCTACTCCAGGGGAGAGGCCCTGGAAGTTTTAAGAGACAATGCACAACTTCATTGTGCATGTGAGAGCTTAGATTGTGGGGATGATTAAAGATGAACAAAGGGTGGTGGGAGAACAGTGAAGTGAGGATACACAGTGTGAAACTCCTTTAAGTGAACAATAATGTTGATGTGATGAACAGAATGTCAGGAGAGAAATTCTGGTTTTAATGTGATTCTTGATTTAAGAATCAAAGGGTGGGATTGTAAAGGAATTTCTTTTACTTCTGTATTAATCACATTATTTTGTTGTATGATGCCTTGGTGCCACTGGATTTTAACAAGTCTCACACTCATACAGTAAGACAGATGGTGGGGGTGTAGCAAGGAAGTTGGGGGAAGCAGACAACTCCACAGGAAGAGTCTTTTGTCTCTTCGAGGACTCTGGGAGGCAGCAAGGGAGTGTGAACCTTATGGTGTGAAGCAGCTGTGCACTGCCTTTTGTTCCTGGAGAAGGTTTTTAACTGAGAGCCATGCTGGGCTCAGGGAGACTCTGCTGACCCTGCGGTCATGCAGGCTCTCCACCAAGCCTGGTTGTCTGTTCTTTGTGTGTTTGATTAAAGAATGTTAGCTGCAGCTCACCGCTCGTCTGCAGGCTTTATTTAATGGAAAACTTCCACAACAAAGGTGCTGCGCAGTATCTTAGCTGTTCCCAGGACTGCGCTCTTCTGGAAGGAGATCTTAGATGTTGTTCCTGGGATCTGCTGGAGCCACTGGCCCAGTATGGGGATCATGGCACCAACTGTTCCGATTACCACTGGGACCACCGTTACCTTCAGCCTCCACATCTTCTCCAGCTCTTCTCTGAGCCCTTGGTATTTCTCCAGCTTCTGTTCCTTCTTCCTGATGTTGCTGTCATTCGGTATCGCTACATCGATCACTACGGCCGTCTTCTTCTGCTTGTCTACAGATACTATGTCACCACCATGTTGTCCGTCTGGATCAACTTGAAAAACCATTTTAATGTCTTAATACAATGTGAGCAAAAATGGAAAATAGCTGAATCCATGTTCTCGGTTTTGATGTATGCAGAGACAGAACAATAGAATATCCCACGTGTGGGACTAATAAAGGTTATCTTATTCTACTGTATATAGTATTTTATTTTATTCTATTCTGTACAGCTGTGTACTGTATTTATTCTTATTGTATTCTAATTTTTGCCTCATAACTTTTGCACTGTCCACTTCCTGCTGTGACAAAACAAATTTCCCACGTGTGGGACTAATAAAGGTTATCTTATCTTATCTTATCTTATCTTATCTTATATCAAGTCGGGATGTATTTTGTTCTGATGTTGAAAAGAAGATTGCATCTCTAACAGTTACACTAATAATGCTTATCTTCTGACTTTTAAGGTCTCAACAATGTATTACAATGATCACTTAAATGCATTTAGTATTGAGGATGGATTGGAAACAAACTGGATGATTTACTGTTTGAATACATTTTTGTAAATTAATCTCTTACATTTTTAATGGGTGTTTGTCATTGATGGCTGTGGTGGGTACAGTGGTTGTAAATACGTTTAATTGCAGTGGTAGAGATGTCAGAGATGAATGCGAGTTCATTGTTATCTGGCAGTGATGACACTGGTGTTAGAAAATCAGTGCTGTTCAGTGTTAAATTAAACACCAGGTTTAGTGTAAAGTACTACCAACACTAATCAGTGCTAATCTTTTAACACTTAAAACTAGGGCTGTGCGATATGACCGAACTCTCATATCCCGATATAAGACATCTATCGTCCCGACAACGATATTTATCACAAAAATTTACATTTTCTGTCAATTCTGTGAATCTCGGGCAGCTGAACTTGCGTGAAGTGTTTCCAGCTGGGCGTCGTGTAGCTGCAGTCGAGTGCTACGTAAGTTGAAACCGTAACCACTCTGCATACTATTTCACGTGATTCAGTTTATTTTGAAAATCTCAACAGGCTCTTCAGCTTTATTGTGAAAGGTCCATGTGGAAAATAAACAAGCGGACAGCGTCGTTGTTGCTAACGACAACGCGTAGTCCTTCGTCCGTCTGTAGTGTGGTTTTTTAAATATAAGAGAAAGGGACAACTTTAAGAAACTCTACAGTGACCATCAAAATGATGATAAAAAGTTTATTTTGCGACACCAAGAAACAAACGACAGACGTTTTTATATCGTCATCCGATATATATCGTTATATCGAACAGCCCTACACACAGTGTAGAATATTGTTGACACTGCTCCGTGTTAGTGTCATAAACACTAGGTCAGTGTTAAAAATATAACACGTTGAAAAGTGCTCATTTAAACTCAAGTGTGGACACATACAGACACGTTTCTAGTGTTAACTTTAACACTCAGTGTCAATTTCACAGTGGGGATTTTGCTGTGTAGAAGAAGAGAGGTCGGCACTATTGGCTGATGTGCAAGAGAGCTACAACTAACAGGTGGTGACGGAGAAAATGGACAGGACTTTTGCTTATAGGTGGCGTGATTGTGCAAGAGGCAGGGGCGGGGTTATTTAAGGTCAAAGGTAATTCTGTTCAGCTGCTGCTGATGAGAAGGGCCAAACGGTTTCTACTGTGCTTAATGTAGTCACCTGTTGTGTTTGTGTGAATGGAAATGTCAGGAAAACCAGACATTGCAAAGGAAATAAATGACACATGAATGTGGTGAACTGTGAGTGCACGTACTAACAATTAGCAACCAGAGCGTCAAAATACAGGATTTAATCACCACAATAATGAAATATTTGCATGTCTGCGTTAATCAATCAAGCGATTTATTACTTAAAGATGACCAGATTGGTTATGTTGGTAACACATAAGTCACTTATTGGCATCTTAGGAATCATTTAGAATTATAAAAAACAAAACAGCTGAGTGGAAAATGTTGACAGAACTGTGTAAACTGAACAGAGACATTGTTGGGTTCCAGTTACTCATATTACCATGAAGTGCTACAAAGCTCGAGTCTCACCTGGTAGGAGAAGAAAGCCAGATTTGTTTGTTTGGCGCCTGTTTGTTGATCACATAGGTGCCGTGGTCTCCACCCAGCTTCACTGTCAGAACACCACTCTGTCAAACAAGAAACAGAAGAAAACGGTTCTGCTTTCATCCGTTAACAAAGCAATTTTGACCAAACATCTACATGGAATATAACTAATCTTAATTTTATTTAACATGTATGTAAAGTTTATCGCAATAAACGTAAATTGTTTCACTCCCTTTCTGTTTGATTTTGGTGACTATGACTGAAAAGCTTAAAATGACTGTAGCAATTTACCCGATGTGCTATCAACGCCTGGGTTTAGACAGAGATACAACGATGTATCGTCTGCATTACAGTAATAAGAAATTCTGTGTTTTCTGAGAAATGAAGCCTGATGGGAGCAAGTAAAGGGAGAATAAAACAGGAACTCCACAAGCGAGTGTAGCAGGGTAACACGTGTTACCCAGCATCTCAGAGTATGTTCTGCTCTCAAGAGGCAAACCATCTTACAGCAGGGCCTCGAATGCCGACGCACGTCTTCAAATGGTTTAATAGGATTGTGTGATCAACTGTGTCAAACGCTGCACTCGGGTCTAGAAGAATTAAAGCAGCCGAAAGCATTGAGCACCTTCAGTAGAGCAGACTGTGTTGCTCTGAAGCCAGACTGAATGTATCCAGAACAGTATCTGAAAATGACAGAACTGACGGGTCCAAACCAGCAGCTTGTTTAGAAGAGGAACAGTTCCATTTCAGACGCTGCTGCTAACAAAGGATGTTAGAAACGTGATGACGACTGTCTTCTCTGAGAAATGGTGTAGGTAACACTTTCACAGGGCAAGTGTCATGTGCATTACTATATCAGTAAGATGGGATAATGAGACTGGTTTGAAGTAGGTGAGAAAGGAGGAACACGTAGGTGGTTCAGAAGGCTCTGGGGACGGGAGCAGAAGACGTTCTCTGATAGGATTCATTTTTCCAGTGAAGAACCTTTAAAATCCTCACAGGTGTGTGCGGCGGTCTCAGACGTGGTGGGATGCAGGACAGAGCTGATTGTGTTGGACAGGACTTTAGGATTCCCAGACTTCTTTGTAATAAAATTCATTTACTCGTTCTGCCTGATAGTTATTCAGACAATCTCTAAACACAACGCTGAGCTTTCTTCCATTTTCATTCTGCTTGACAGCACGAGGGACTTTATTTACCCAAGGCTGAGTTTCTAATTGATGCAGTCTGTGCATTGTTGGTACAAGCTGAACTAAAGCATGCAAGCAGCTCATCACGGTTACAGCGACAAGGAGAGGTTTCATTCAAAGGTGGTTAAAGGAGATTTCAGACGTCATAGGCTGCAGAAAAGAGGCGGTGTGGGTTTGTTTAGGAGATGAGTGAGGGATGGGGATATCAAACATTATGATTAGATGGACACATCAATCACCTCAACACTGATCACTGAAAGCCCAGATGACAAGATGGGGGTTCTTAACCTTTTTTACCTCGGGGCCCAACCTTTCCACTACAAAGTGGCCCCGGGGCCTCATTCAGATATTAACACTATACTGAATAACTGGTGTTGCTTTTGGTTTGATTTATATTTAATAACTAAATCAAATCTACTTCATTTTAACAGCTAAAACCTTGTCAAATAAATATGGTACAATACAATAGTGTTTGTGGCAGCCTCAGTGTAATTGTATGTTCATCATTTAGTTTCTGTAAATAAGAATTTAGATCATTCTGCCATCATTTATTACAGCTACCATTAAAGTTCACTTCACAGTTAGCAACCCTTACAACATCCATAGACTTACAGAGAAGAGAACATCATAGTCGGCCCCAGTAAAAGCTTCATCTGTGAGGTCTTCAAAGTAATCAGCCAGAGCGTCCAATGTCTCATCGGCCAGCTTCTCATATGCTGCCGCAGACAGTTCACTTTTGGAGAATGACACAAAGTTATAAATGAGTTCAAGTAGTCAAAGCTTAAGCAATGCTTAAGGAGAAAAACAAAAACCAAAATATTGGTTACCTTACATGCACGAGGGTGACTTTTTTCTGGCTCTGTGAATTCAGGTAGATGGTTTTGCTCCACCTGCAGCCATTAATTCTGCTCCCGAACCACTGAAATAGAAAAACACCAACAAACTTGTTTAATTACTCTTCTCCTTCATGCTCAGCTGGTTTCTGACATGTATGCACCTTATAGAGTATTTATGGCCAACTTTGAAAGTTACAGTTTGTTTTCCCATTTGAAGACAGATGATGAAATCACTCGATGTGAAACATTTGTGACACGCACTTTATCCTTAATAAAGTGTTGAATTTGGAGGTGCAAGGCACTCCCTGATTTTGGACTGAGACATAAGCTAATTCTAACCGTAAACTTTGTTTACTTCTTCAAAGGTTCTGTGGGCCCTTCTATGAACTCTGAGCATCAGGTCTTTCCATAGGTTTTCCAGTTGGATTCGGGTCAGGTGATTGGCTGAGCCTGTGGCAGAGTTCAACTTTGGTGTCATCTTTCCAGAATATATTCTCCCAGTATTTCACAGGCTTGTTCCAAACAGATGCAACACACTCATGCAATAGAGAGGATGTTTATTGCATTACAACATTACTCATTTAAGCTGAATTTTCCATTAATATGGTTTATAGCAGGGATGTCCAAACTCCGGCCCGCGGTCCATTTTTAATTGGCCCGCAAGTAATTTCATAAATAGAATAGAATAAGGCCGCACTTCAACTTTTGCCTGAGTGTATTGCACTTCTTAGTTTTAACACCAGGGGGAGCTGCTGTTGATCAAGTCAGTTGCTCCACCAAAAACGACAATCACAGAAGAAATGTACCCCAAGTTACTAAACAGGTCAGAACCAAAGAAGCGAAAAGTAGAAGAGTGAGTGCAGAAAATTTCAGACACGGTGGGAGAGTGAATGTTTCTTCAAAGAACTCAAGGGGACGCGTGTCTGTTTGATCTGCACTGAGACTGTGGCAGTTATAATGTACGACGTCATTATGAAACCAAACATCAGGCCTGTGCATCCGACACTGGTGCTGAGCCAGAGCAGACATTAAAGCTCTGCTGCAGGGTCAGCAACAGTATTTATTTCGTGCTCAACAGGTCCAGGAAAAGGCTCCGATAGCCGCTACACCATCAAACAGTCAATATCTGTAATAATATTCAACTATAGAAGTAATAATATTTGAACAACTCCTCAGTCAGGACGGAGAGTTTAAACAGGCCTAAATTTGATACAGTTCATATTGATTTGTCACATAGTGTGTGTGTGTGTGTGTGTGTGTGTGTGTGTGTGTGTGCCGTCTCTGTAAAAACCAGACCGAACATTTGTAGATAAACTGGAGATGGTCGAGAAGCTCGGTGACAACTACAACCCGTCATTAAGTATGTTCAGTTTAAACTAATCACCAGCGAGTAAAAGCTGAACTTACGCTGTGCGACGGCCGGCAGGGGGGATGCAGCGTGCGGTTAATGAACGGACGAAGCCCCGGGAGGTGAGATAATCTCCAGAACTACAGTGGACATAAAGGTCACTGTGAGTGTGGCTCGTATCTACCATTAGCATCATGTTCAGCCATGGACGCAGCTCGTACCTGGTTCCACAGATGCTTCTTCCTCTGCTGCGTCAGCAGGTTGAGCTGACACACGTGTGAGTAAATCCGCGGTGTCTTACAGAGCAGACGCATGGTGACGGTCCCGATAAACAGTCCCGGTGTGTTGACAGCCAACGTTGTTCCTTCCTCGTCTGCGGCTTTCTTTCTTTTTCGTCATTTGTTGGCGGTTGGCAAACAGCAAAATGGTGTATTACCGCCCCTGCCGGTGTGGAGAATGAGTTCGTCTTAAACTAAATATGGCCTGATAATACTCGAGTCCATCTCCACTTCCATATCACCGAGCTTCTGGATCAGCTGTCTTCTTTCAGCATCATATTTCTGACAGTAAAACGTGTTTTCCTCCCATTACTTTTGACATCTTTCTTCCATTTTCTGCTGTGTTCTGCTCTTAATCTCTGTCCTGCTAACACTGATAACCAATCCACTGATACCCATGGTACCCATAAGGTGGTGACTCTGAGCTCCATGTCGTTGACTCTGTACAGTGTTTGCTGAATCTCTATCAAAATGTCTGACCTGCTGTCTGAGTCACTGTCTTGTAAACTAGCCAATGATGAGTGTGAACACATCACTGATCTTACTGGTCTTGCGTCTTCAGTCCACTGGACAGCTGACAGAACTGAAACGATTTCTGTGCACTAATAAACTGTCACCGATCCCTTTCCTTACTTTGACATGAAACTCAGGAACAATAAATATATCCCGCTTTGCTCGCCTGTCTTCTTTGATGCATCTGTGTAGATTTTGACATAACTGTAACACCGCTCTATATATGCCTGCACTGTATGTGCGTTTAAAATAAAAGCCCTGTTCCTACAGCATCAGAGAGCACTCAGGACCTTCTTACTGTGAGGCAACAGTGCTGACCACACCACCGCGTTGCCATACTTGTATCATATTCATATGGCATCCCAGGTCGTATCCTCAGAGACTGCGCATACCAGCTAGCTCCTGTGTTCACTGAGATATTCAACATCTCTTTATCTCAGTCGGTGATCCCCACATGCTTCAAAGAGTCCATCATTGTTCCTGTCCCGAAGAAACCCCACCCTGCTTCTCTCAATGACTATCGCCCTGTAGCCCTCACCTCAGTAGTGATGAAGTGCTTTGAACGCCTGGTCAGAGACTTCATCATTTCTTCACTACCAGACACACTGGACCCACTACAGTTCGCTTACCGTCCAAATCGTTCCACAGACGATGCCATCTCTCATCTCCTCCACACATCACTCACTCACTTGGACACTAGAAGGGGGAATTATGTTAAAATGCTCTTCATAGACTACAGCTCTGCATTTAACACCATAATTCCCTCCACACTCACCACCAAGCTGGAGCATCTGGGACTCAGCTCATCTATGTGTCAGTGGATCTCCAACTTCCTAACTGGCAGACCACAGGCAGTAAGGATGGGCGGACATGTCTCAGCCTCCACCACTCTCAGCACTGGAGCCCCCCAGGGGTGTGTTCTGAGCCCCCTGCTGTACTCTCTGTACACATATGACTGTGTGGCCACTACCAGCTCCACCACCATCATCAAGTTTGCTGACGACACCGTCGTGGTGGGCCTGATCTCTGATAACAACGAGACGGCCTACCTGAAGGAGATTAGGAATCTGGAGAACTGGTGCCAGAGGAACAACCTCCTTCTAAACGTCAGTAAGACAAAGGAGCTGATAGTGGACTTCAGCACTAAGCAGGAGAGGAACTACCAGACCCCCGTCATCAACGAGTGCCCAGTGGAGAGAGTGGACAGCTTCAAATACCTCGGAGTTCACATCACGCAGGACCTGTCATGGTCCTGTCACATCAACACCGTGGTGAAAAAGGCCCGACAGCGTCTCTACCACCTCAGACGCTTGAGAGACTTCCAACTGCCCTCCAAGGTGCTCAGGAACTTTTACTCCTGCACCATAGAGAGCATCCTGATGGGAAACATCTTAACCTGGTTCGGGAACAGCACCATGCAGGACAGACGAGCTCTACAGAGGGTTGTGCGGTCAGCTGAGCGCACCATCCGCTCCGAGCTCCCTGACCTGCACTCAATCTACAGCAGGCGGTGCTGGACCAAGGCCAGGAAGATGGTGAAGGACCTCAGCCATCCCAACAACAGACTGTTCTCTCTGTTGAGGTCAGGAAAGCGATTCCGCTCCCTGAAGACCAACACAGAGAGACTGAGGAGGAGCTTCTTCCCGCAGGCGATACGGTCTCTCAATCACACCACCACACAGTACTGACCCACACATATGGTTCTTACACACACACTGGACTTTCTGGACTTTGTTTCACTTCATTACTTAAATCACGCTGCTGTTATTGTGTATATGCTGCTGTTATTGTGTATATATTTATTTATATTTCTTCATAGATTCTTATATAGTTCTATACTGTGTATTTTGTTGTACAGTTATTTTATTTTCAACTTTAATTTATATATTTTATCTTATTCTTTCCCAGTTAAATTTACCCTTCATTCTAATTTGTGTTGTACAGTTATTTCATTTTTGACCTTAATTTATATTTTATTCCTTCCTAGTTAAATTTACCCTTTTTAATTTTTCATATTTATTTCCTATCTTATTCATAGCCTTTTCCTTTTTTGTTTTCTTTAGGTCACAAGCAGTTGTCCAAGCATTTCACTACATATCGTACTGTGTATGACTGTGTACGTGACAAATAAAATTTGAATTTGAATTTAAAAACTATGGTTGTCATAACCTTTAGTTACTTTCCCATCATAAATCAGGGTTCGACATAAGGTGCATCACATCCCTCCTCCCTGCATCAGTCCTGCAGGGTCCTGCAGTCCTGTGGGCCCCGGCTGTTGGGACCCTGCAGGATCTCGTCACACTTTAGTGTCTGATGTACATGATTTAAGAATCCTCTTTTGCACACTCTCAGTCTTACTTACTCATTGTTGCATTTAACTTTTATCACAGCTCAGTCAGATTGGATGTGGAGCGTCTGTGAACAGCAGTTTTCGAGTCTTGCCACAGATGTTCGGTGTGATTTAGACCCAGTACGTGGATATTCTTTGATATAAACCATTACATTGTCTGCTGGAAGGTCAATCTCCACCTCCTTTGCAGCCTCCAACAGGTTTTCTGCCACATGTTTAGCTCCATCCAACTTGATTATCTAATTAGGTGACTTCTAAAGGCCACTGATATCACTGGGTTTTGTTTAGGGGTATCAGAGCACAGGGGGCTGAATACACAACACAATTTTCAGATTTTCATCTGCTTAAATTACTTAAGGGATCCAGAAAATGGAGCTCTCAGAAATGAGGAAAAGAAACAGACCAATGAGGAGGCTCGTGGATGCAGTGATGAAGGGCATGCAGTGGGTGAGGAAGAGGGTGACGACCTTCTGTGGGCGACCCTACAGAGAGCAGCTGAAAGAAGAAGAAACAACAGGCCAACTGACTGACCTCCACCACCAGCACCATGAGCGATGTGTGATGGGGTTTGTCATGGTCCTGAGTCTTTGGGGCTGGGGAGGTGTTGCTGTTCTGGTTCTCTGTACGGGTTTGGTCCTGACTTCATCTGAGTCCACTGATTCCCAGCCTGGGTCTCTCTGCTGTTTCCCTGTTTTATTTTGATAGTCTCCTCTCTAATTCTAATCTGTGATTTTGCTTCCTTTGATCTGGATTAGTGTCAGCTGTGGGCTGTTCCCTTTGTTGTCCGTTGTGAGCTCCCTCGTGGTGCGTGACCTTCTGTCAGCCTGTAACTCAGCTTCGTTCCAGTTTTGTTGCTTTGCCATTTCCAGCACATAAAGCTGTGGTTAAGCTTGTGTGTTATGATTTCTTCTGTGGGATCCACACATGTCTGCAGCAGCAATGCTAATGTTGCTGTCACGTGTGCGATTATGGTCAAAGGCAGTCAGCTACTGTTGCATTACCACATGTGCTTTTACTTTTGTGCAGTATTGTAGTGTTTGTGTCAGGATGTGGACACGTTTTTATAAAACCAGCCAAATGTAATCAGTAGTTCTCGAAGGCTGAAGTGCAGACTGAATGTTTAACAGCTGAACGTGTCCTTGTTAGACAAGGAAATGAAATAATTATGAAGCATAAAGTGTGATAAACAGCATGTCTCACACATCAGTGACCCGTATGATGGTATTTGTATTCACAGCTCACAGACTGGACGTAGGAGGGGAGGCATTTTAATTTGACTCCAGTGGGCTGTAAAGCTTACATCATTCTGCTGAAATAAAAGAAGTCATGAACTGATTGTTCATGTAAACATACGGATTCATCCTTTAATGTCAGAATAGAAACTGCTGAGCAGAAAGTCTCTTTGATTTGAATCGTCTTTAAGGTCAGTGATGAATCACTCGCCCCTTTCCGATTGGCCACGTGAGTTTTCCCAGCAGACCCAGCTGTTCTTTCACGATGCTTCCCTGGTGCACGTTCCTGCCTCCTGCAGGTTTACCTTCGACCTGTGAACAGAAGAGTCAGAACAGGTGCCATCATGGCGTCGTTGCACCAAAACAAAGACAGAATAGATTCATTAGATCTCTGTGGTTGGTAGAATTAAATAATGATTATTGACATTCACATTTTAAGTATAACACAATCATTGAAATGAATTATTCATTATTACAATTCATTATAGGGAATTCTTCTGATTTGGACAACACTGTGACAGCCCTGCAATATCAGGAGCAGCTCAATAACACAAATCAGTCTGCTTGCTTCAGTGAAGTGCAGCGCTTCTGTTTGACTGGCTGTAGATAAAGAATCATTAGGTGAGAGTTTGTACAAACACAAATACAAATTAGTCTAAGAAGGTGGTTCCCAAACTGTTTCTGCAAGGCCCCCCTTTGTCCTACGAGAACCCCCCCATCGAGAGACACACACACACACACACACACACACACACACACACACACACACACACACACACACACACACAGATTTTGTTTTTAAATCCCATTGCAGTTTATAATGACGTAACTCCAACACTGGATTACAGGCTCTTACCTGTTGTGGGTCATGTGACTCTTGACCAGATGCCCAGCAGCCAGAGCAGCCATCAGTGAGAGCTCTCCAGCGAGTACGGTGGCACACACGATCCTGGCCAGCTGTCGGGCGTTCTCACCTGGACAG